AAGAATGCCCTCTGAAATCCATCGTTTGGTCTTCCGCGGTCATGAAACTCCGGTGAAATTTTTAATTTAAAGATAGTAAGCTGTGTGAGATCTTTCCAATTAAGATTATATGTTTGAAAGGTCCTTTTTTGGCAATTAGAGATACGGTTAGATCGATTATGTCTGCGTTCTACTATAAAGTTTTACACGTCATGTGGTTGCAAAAAATATGCGAGACAAGAGAACCACACAGACGCTCAGACACAGTTGCTTATAGACGTCATCAATGCCAGGAGCAGAGCCAAAAGCCTGCCTACGGTTAAGTACTCTGAAAACATGTATACTTCCTATGTAAATTTACATAATATGAAGACACGATATATATTTTATTGCTTTGATGGGTGGACGAGCTCACAGCCCACCTGGTGTTAAGTGGTTACTGGAGCCCATAGACATCTACGTAAATTCGCCACCCACCTTGAGATATAAGTTCTAAGATCTCAGTATAGTTACAACGGCTGCCCCGCCCTTCAAACCGAAACGCATTACTGCTTCACGGCAGAAATAGACAGGGTGGTGGTACCTACCCGCGCGGACTCACAAATGTATACGTTCATACCTACAATATTTGGAAAAAAGCAAGCCTCGAGTCCCGCTGATTCTTCTCCGTCGTGAAACTGCATTCCGAATCGGTGGCAAAAGTCATAACTATATAAAAGTACCTGCAAAGTTCTGTTTCATTAAATTAGAAACTATTAACTTTCACGATTAGCTTTCATCCCTTGATTGAGAGTCAAATACGAGCCGTGCTACAGTGATTATCTAACCTCTCGACCAACAATGCGATCATAGATAGAAAGAAACATGAAGGTTCAACCTACACACGAACGTCAATTATACTTATTTGCCCTTTAGAAAAATATATATTACACAAAGGCGATCTGATATGATATTGTTACGGGTTTATATTTACAGGCTTTTGCGATTGGTACAGTCGAGAAGGCGTGGTGAGTATAGTAATCGGTGAAATGGATGCAACCTTGAGGCTCGTCCGCTTCAAAGTTCAGTGTTAATGGTTCCGCATACTCGATGGTGGTATCTGTTTTATTGAGTGTTCGACAGATATACTCGTTTGTCACTTACGGCAATTAAAATAGCTATATATAAAACTGGACTAATATTTAACCAGAGTAACTCAATGAAGGGACCTTGTGTAGAGAGGCCTTTTACCAAAAACATTAATGATTTTCAAATAGATCAAATGAAAGGATACTGCTATTTATTTATTTATTTATTTATTTATTTATACTTTATGCACAAAACAAAACTTGTACACAGGCGGACTTAATGCCATGGGCATTCTCTTCCAGTCGACCATAGGGTGGTGCAGAGATAATGCATGGTAGGTGCATTGACAAAAGAATAACAAACAACAACAAAACAAAACAAAAAAGAACAAACTCAAAACAAAAATCTTCCTTAAAATAACATCTCAGTATTATAGAATACACATTTATGTTTTTTAAATATTTTTAATTCAAAATACATAATAAACAAACCAAAATCAAATATATTATATTCCCTGTCTATCTTACAGAATACCAAATACTCTAGAAGAAGAAAAGACACATGGGGCTTCATCCATTTGATATACTTTAGATGAGAAGCTTAAAGAAAGTTCTTAGTCTTGAAGTTCTCACGCACGCACGCTTTGAATTTTTATGAGATTCCTTACATTGAAATGGATATCACTAACGCTCTCCATCTTTAATACAGATATTGCCTCGCCACCCACCTTGAGATATAAGTTCTAAGGTCTCAGTATAGTTACAACGGCTGCCCCGCCCTTCAAACCGAAACGCATTAGTGCTTCACGGCAGAAACAGGCAGGGCCGTGGCACCTACCCGTGGGGACTCACAAGAGGTCCTACCACCAGTAAAAATCTATATGTCTCAAATCTATATGGTATAACAGTTGTTCCATCTTTCAGACCAGAATCAAATATCGTTGCCGAAATAGGAAGGATAATGGTAGCTACACATGCGGACATATGATACGCTATACTGTTAATGTCGATTGGGGAACACAGTACTATGATATAGTCCTCAGAGAAAGCTGCTTTCCATTCACCACTGAATCCCTTAATGGAGATTAAAATAAAATAAAGTAGGTAGTGCTATTTTAAACCGGGACCACACAGCCGGATTTTGTTGTAATTTGCAAAACAAAATCATTTACAAATGTCGTTCACCGACCCAACCTAGTAAAAAGTTATGTGTCATGATGAAAATGAGCGGTCATTGCACCGTATTGATTGATGAATAACTAATTTTATAGATAAGGGGCACAGCACACCTGCGAACCGGTCCTTCGCACGTACGTTACAAAACGCTTACATAATTGTAGGGAGAATCATTTGATTCTAGAATACATAAAATAACTACGCTAGAGAGGCTTTTATTTACCCAACTAGTGAATGGATTTGAAGAACAACGCATCCAGTGGTGTGATCAGGAATGTTTTTTTTTTTTAATGATTGAAATATTACTGGTGGCCCGGAGGCCTTTCCAGCTTCACCAGGACAGGGATCTGGAATGTACCGACAAGTGACACACTAGATTTAGTTAACGTGCTATAAAATTTTTTTAAATCTATTTATTGTGAACAAGATTTTAAACACTTTTACTAAAAGTCGAATATTGTAAGCAGCATGTAATGTAATACCTGTCCTTGGGGTATTTTAACGGGCATAGCGTCGCATTAAGCATGCTCGTGGGAAATGAAATCAAATTTTCATCACCTCAGTTAATACCCAAAACTCTATTTGCACGGATATGCAATCTCGACAAATTAAAGATATATAATTTTTATATATTTGTATAACTGTTGACTGTTCAATCCTAGATTTATCTTACCCTTTTTTTCACTTAGCCCCCTAATTTCTAACATCTTATATAGAGTATGTTGTAAACTCACAGCTTATACAACAGCACTTATTTTGTCTGTAATTCAATCACGACTCTCAGTTATGTAGGGCAATTGTTGTACCATTATGATTGCAGGGTTTACCCTTAAATTTTACCCTCAAGATTATCCTAAAAATACGATGGATTCCAATAACTGCAGGTAGGCTGTGAGCTACTTCGCCCAATTTAGAGCTAGATTTCGTGTTTACAGTTAAGTACCCATAAATCGGGTACATAGTTTAGAAGTCAGTTAACTCTTTTTCTCCACCTTATTCCACAAGGTGGGGTCGACACAGCTAATTTTTCTCTTCCATTCTCTTCTATCAGCCGTCATCTCAACACTCACTCCTCTCTCACTCATATCGTCATTCACACACTCCATCCATGCCTTCTTTGATTGACCTCTACCCCCTCTACCTTGCACTACCATTTCCATACATCTCCTAGTCACATGAATCTTCTCTCTACGCGTCACATGTCTATACCACGCTGACTGTTCGCTCTTTAATTTATTGATTGCCAGGGCTACTTTCATACTTCCTGTACTACTGATATACTTTAGAAGTCAATTAACGTGGGGAAATAATAAAACGCAGTGTTTTTTTTTTTAAGATCCAGTGCGAAACAACAGACTTGCAATATAATATGCATTGTAACGCGACATCCGGACGCCGTGCTCCCCTGACTTGTTACATAATGACTAAACTTGTTCGAAAGGGCTCTTATAACCACGACAAAGTTTGAGCAAAAGCTACCCTAAGTTTTCACATACGATTTTTATTGGTAGTAACATGGATTTGATTAGGCATACTGAATTGAAAAAAGCTATTCTCCGCAGAGTGGGCTTTGCTCTAAATATTACCGGGATACTCCATTAATAAACTAGCATTTACTGCTAGTAGGGCATTTTGTAAATAGGCAAGGGTAGGACTCACAATCTTGCATATTTCTGCGAATCATGAATGCACTGAAGTTAGCTGCTATATGCTGTCTCGATACGGGCGACGATATTCACTCCTGCTACCCAATATAGAAGAGTAATAAAGATAATTTTCTAGTGGGACCAATAACAGCGACAACATTGTAATGTAAAACTGAAATATGCTTCTATATATACTTCTAATAAACCGTTCCACGTCAGGGTCGCTCAGGGTGTGGCGATTGCTACGCTGCATCACTTTACTTGATTGAAACACAAACACGGCTACGACGTTTCCATTCGTACAAATGATTTTGTTCACGCCTTTTATCAGATTGCAGTGTAGTTATATGTAGACGATATTTTTTTTTATTGCTTAGATTGATGGACGAGCTCACAGCCCACCTGGTGTCGAGTGGTTACTGGAGGCCATAGACATCCACAACGTAAATGCGCCACCAACCTTGAGATATAAGTTCTAAGGTCTCGAGTATAGTTACAACGGCTGCCCCACCCTTCAAACCGAAACGCATTACTGCTTCACGGCAGAAATAGGCAGGGTGGTGGTACCCACCCGCGCGGACTCACAAGAGGTCCTACCACCAGTAGTATCCAGATAAATTTTAGCTTGTGATATTAAGAGTGTAGGTGTAGTCACGAGCAGTAAGAAGAATAAAGAATAAAGAAATCTTTTGATAGCAATTCGTTGCTGCAAACACCTCCCCAATAGTTGACTAAACCAAGGTTTTATGAAATAAAATTTATACTGCAAAAAATTCACGAATGCTTTCAATACCATTGAACTTTTCCTAAATCGTCGTCGTATTGTGAATAAATTGTGAAAGAAATATGACTTAAGAGTAAACTTAAACCAGATGTTCAAAGTAAAATGGAGTAAAGTAAAAAAGAGTTATGTAAAAATTATAAGCATTTATCGTACAACTATGTAACTATACTTGATGTAACCTTAGAACTTATATATTAATTTGGGTGGCGTATTTACGTTGTAGATGTCTATGGGCTTCAGTAACCACTTAACACCAGGTGGGCTGTGAGCTAGTCCACCCATGTAAACAATAAAAAAAAAGTATCCGTGACATCGCAAATTGAGCATTCGTTTTCTCTTCTTCCGCAGGAAATGCGCAGAGACGGCGTCGATAGGAGTGGACTGCGCTGCTGTGGGTAGCCATCTACGCGGCGCCATGGGCACCCGTCCCGCCGCCAGGTTCTGGCCGCAGCTCTGGGCGACCGTCGTCAGGAATCTGCTACTCAAGAAACGAGACACTAGAAAGACTTTGGCTGTTAGTTTACGTACATTCTAACCACCGCATTTTCTTACTTCATAACTAAATAGAAATAATTTGAAAATTTGTTTGAATTGCAATGCAAAGAAGCAGCTGTGAAGTTTGATTTTTAAGATATTTCATAGCTTTTATCGCGAGCTTTGAGCGCGGTGACCGAATCCAGAAATTCCATAACGAAAATAAAACCTTACACCCCCACTCCGCCTACCGTGCAGCTCGCGTTCAACACATTCACACGTTGCGCTTGTGTAGTGTTTGTGAATAAGCGCGCGGATGACGTCGCACTGCATGCGCATCATTTAAAGTCTGCCCATCTCTCTCTCGCGCGGTCTAGCTTATGAGTGTGAAGGGGACAGTTAATATTTTGCTTTTGTTAATGTTTATAAATATAGCGTGGTCTTTTTTTATTATTGTTTTAATATTATTGTCTAATTATAATTGCATAAGTTGATAAAAAATGGTATGCAATAGCTTTACCGCGGCAGTCCCCGAGTGCCACACGTGTTTGTTTTTTAATCTCGATATCAGGAGTTAACTTTAAAAGTTTATTAGCTATTTTTACAAAAATCCTTTCAGAGACATTCTTTGTGGTTTATTTAGTTTTTGGGTTCTCGATTCTCTGGGAAGTGACCGCTTAGACGTATAAATAAGTACTATGAACTCACTATTTATTTATTTATTTATAACTTCTTATACTAGAAAGTATAAAGGCGGACTTAATGCCATAGGCATTCTCAAACAGTCTACCTTAGGGGAGTGGAGAGATGAAGCTTGTTAGGTGTCACTATCTATATAAGAAAACGAAAAAAAAAGAAGGCGAGCTCTCATTCACAAACCCCATCACTAGCTTAAATTTAATTGCAGATACTAACAGATTAATAATGTATTATGTCGAACAGGAAGTTTTGGTTCCTCTATACTCGTTGGGAGTGCTGATCTTCTTGAAGATGCTCGTGCCAAATCCCAACTTCCCGGAGGTTCGAAAACCAGGTCCCTTGCTGCGCATCCACCACGACTTCTTCCCGGAGAACCACTCCATTGCCGTCGTCGCCGATTGGCTGAACTCCAACGGAACTATGGTACGTGTGCGAAACGAAAATGCTTAATAATAAATGTGACCAATTTGGTACATAAGGATAGTGTAGTCTAAGCCTTCACTGCGGGAAGGCCCATATCGGCCCGCCTCGGTACTTTCAGCTGGTGCGGACGAAGAAAACTATGTCCCTCCCGCGTAAGAGCTCGACACCGACAACTATCTATATATATATAAAAATGGATTGCTGTTCGTCAGTCTCGCTAAAACTCGGGAACGGCTGGACCGATTTTGCTAATTTTGGTCTTGAATTATTTGTGGAAGTCCAGAGAAGGTTTAAAAGGTAAATAAATATGGAAATGCTTGGAGTTAAATAAAAATAGCAATTTTGTTTATCCTTTGATGTGTCCCCGTCGGACGGATTCTTTTTGTTTGTTTTAAGTTTATTTTATACAAAAGCTTAGGTCTTTTATTTATCGATTGAGGCACTACGAAGTCTGCCGGGTCAGCTAGTATACTATAAATTGTAAACAGTATGTTTTCAAGCAGCGACCATCTTCCATCGTTCAGGGTCGCATCCTCACTTTCTTCGCGAATGTGTCGCGGCGGGGTGATGACTCAGTTGAGCGCCTTGTGGTGCAGGGCATGATAGAGGGTACAAGACCGCGTGGCAGATCACCATTACGATGGACCGACCAAACAAAGGCAGCTCTTAACGGTCCCGTTAACGAGTGCACAAGAATAGCCGCGGTACGCGAGGAATGGCGACGTCTGGTGAAGCGTACCACCAACCGAACTGATGACCACGACACCTCTGCCAAGAGTGCATACGACTGAGAAGAATAATGTTTTCAACTGTCGGGAACGTTTTATGAGTTTCTTCGGAAACACCATGCTGTCTCCCAGACATGAATTAGAGAAGCTCATAATTGCGGGTCGCATAGAGGGCAAGCCCGCCGTGGGCAGAACACCAGCCAGATGGTCAGATCTAGTAAGAGAAGCACTTGGTGGTAGTCTCTACCATGCGGCCCATGCCACTCATGATCGAACACAGTGGAAGAACGTCACATGTGGTCGCGTTCCTCAGCAGTGAGGGAAAGATATAGAAGAATAATAATAATAATAATAATAATAAAGATCATTTATTGCCTTTCACATCATAAAATGAAATACAAAAAAAAGAAGAGCAAAAAAAAAGAGAAAAAGGCAAAAGGAGGTGGCTCAGCTATTGCTGTTCAAGGTTGATAAATTGAACAGCGCTGATTTTCAGTCACCCCCGTTTCCCTTTGGTTCTTTGCGGGAATGAAGACTCCGTACGTGTGTACATACTCAGAATATGATATAAATTAGTAAAATTAGTAATTTATAAAAGTTTAAGAAAAAACAAAATAAAAATCAAATTAAATGGTGAACCCGAAAACAAAACCAAAAATTTAAGAAAAAAACAAAACAAAAAACAAATTAAATGGTGAACCCGAATACAAAACATAATAAGCACACAGTAATAACAACCTGTGGGCAGCTTAAAAAAAAAAAAAATATATAAAAATAAGAAGAAGAAGATAACTCATGGTAACCGTCAGTGTCGAGAATCGTGCTTAGTAGGGTGTAATTGGCGAGAGCCATGTCCAGCAGTGACCTGCTGTAGCCTGATAATATAATTGTCGGTACAATGTTCTCAGGGCTTCTTGGGTGACATCAACGAGATGCTCGTAGAATCCGAACAGCATCCAATCCACTGGATCTTGTACAACAACACCGAAGATCTGAACGACGCATATCACAGTAACACGAAGAACTTTCCCATCGCCGTCATATTCCATACGGACCCCAGCTCTTTCACTGAGCCCCTTAGGTAAGATAATAAAAGACGACCAGTATATTCATATGAAGCGATGTGTCTATTTGTATTACAAATAAAGACTGACTGACTTGGTAAATTCGAACAAGCTTACTTCAACATCACTAGAAAGAGTCATAGATGAATTTTCCTTCGAACTCTTTCAGATATACAATAAGAACCAATCCGTCTCGTGTCGGGACGCCTTCGACGAGAACGCTGACCACCTCGCCAGCGAAATGCCGCGAAAGAACCGGAGTCAAAGACTGGTCCTCCGACTGGTCCAGAGGCGGTCAGCTGATCCCCTTGTCAGAGATGCACAGAGAAGATACTTGCCCCGTGTTGCAGTATTATTATTCTGGGTTCTTGGCTCTACAGACGCTCATTGACTACACCAAAATCAAGGTGATTTTTGAAATTATCTTTATAATTTTAAAATGTTTGCTTGTTGATGTCTTGCCGATTCTCTCTGATTTGCATTGTACAATAATCTATATAAATAAAAATGAATTGCTGTTCGTTAGTCACGCTAAAACTCGAAAATGGCTGGACTGATTTGGCTAATTTTGGTCTTGAATTATTTGTGGAAGTCCAGCGAAGGTTCAATGGTAGATAAGTATGAAAATGCTCGGAATTAAATGAAAATAACAATTTTGTTTTTTCTTTGATGTGTCCCCCGTCGGAAGGATTTCTTTTGTTTGTTTTTTAGTTTATTTTATACAAAAGTGTAGGTCTTTTATTTATCAACTGAGGCACTACGAAGTCTGCCGGGTCAGCTAATTATACTATAAATACGAAAAGGTGTTTTTTTTTATTTTTCGTTAACAAGGAGACACTTGTGGCGATTCACTTATTCGCCACTATTTGGGCAACCGCCTTACAATTCGACAAAATCGCTGTCGCCTATGAATTCAGGCAATCATCTATTATTGTTGTTTGTGTTCTTCGAAATCTTAAGAAACTGCGGGCAGTACACATCGACATTCGCTGTGCTACCTATCGTTCGTGTCAGTGCTTTACTACTCCTATATGTTATTTCTTTATCGTGCCACTCCTGTCATAGTTTGTTTGTGAATATTGCTATCTTCAATAAACTATTCAAAGCAGTACATATTCATACTCACTGTGTAAACCATCCTTCGTGTCAGCGCCTACCTAATACAGTTAGAAGTAGAACAAATACTACAACTACTTCTACAGTGGTACTTCTACACACTCATCTGCTGAACCTTTTCTAAAATACTAAATTAAAAACAAAAAAAAATACAGAGTCATTTAAAAAAGTCCCTCTCCGCAATTCACGCGAACCTCCAATCAAATTTTCAAAGATCTGTCTGATATTTATGTTCGTGTCTATTTCCCCTCACAGGCAGACACAAACTTCACCTCTTCAGTTCCTCCGATGCACATCGATCTCAGACAGTTTCCGAAACGCCAGCACACGGGAGACTGGCTGGTGATCTTCCGCGTGATAATGCCCATGTACATGGTCATGACGCTGTCGCAATTCATCACCTATCTGCTCATGTTCGTCGTGGGAGAGAAGGAGAAGAAAATAAGAGAGGGAATGAGGATAATGGGACTCAAAGATTCTGTCTATTGGTAATTTTGTGTGTTTACACCNCTCAGACAGTTTCCGAAACGCCAGCACACGGGAGACTGGCTGGTGATCTTCCGCGTGATAATGCCCATGTACATGGTCATGACGCTGTCGCAATTCATCACCTATCTGCTCATGTTCGTCGTGGGAGAGAAGGAGAAGAAAATAAGAGAGGGAATGAGGATAATGGGACTCAAAGATTCTGTCTATTGGTAATTTTGTGTGTTTACACCGATTTTGAGCCCTATCCACATTTTGCAGTTACTGATGATCTAAGATTTAGTCATAAGTCAAGGGAATATTTACTTAAATCTCTATCTAATTTTTAATCCTAAAGCATGTGAGTTTGAATATTTATAGCAGAATGTCGATACTAACAAAATTAATTGAACAACACTATACGAGAGATGAACTGAAAACTAATTTGCGACGAAGGGCTCGAAGAGCGAATTAACCCATAGAGTTTCTCGCCGGATCTTCTCAGTGGGTCGCGTTTCCGATCCGGTGGTAGATTCTGCGAAGCACTGCTCTTGCTAGGGTCAGTGTTAGCAACTCTCCGGTTGAGCCCCGCGAGCTCACCTACAAACGTTAGGGCGAAGCTGGAATAGCCTCTCAAGGCTATCAGCATAGGTAGGAAAAAAAAAAGAAAACTAATCTACCCACGTAATGCAATAAATAAATATGGAAAGGCATACAATTTATAACGATGCGTATCTTGCCTATTGAATAAACTAAGATAGATGTGCCGTAATTAAAACCAATAGAACATAATATATATATCTTATTATTATTATTTTTTAGCTTAGATGGGTGAACGAGCTCACAGCCCACCTGATGTTAAGGTGGTTACTGGAGCCCATAGACATCTACAACGTAAATGCGCCACCCACGTTGAGATATAAGTTCTAATGTCTCAAGTATAGTTACAACGGCTGCTCCACCCTTCAAACCGAAACGCATTACTGCTTCACGGCAGAAATGGGCAGGGCCTACCCGCGTATATTTTTATTACCCTAGTTGGTCGTAAAGGTAATTGGAATTCCATTTTGTTTACAGGGGCTCCTGGTTTCTGATATACGCAGTTTTCGTCACTATTCTCTCCATCGTCAGCACGGTTCTGCTGTTTACTCTAAAGGTAGGTCTGTGGTACGTAGCACTACGAAAGCCACAGCAGTACAATGTGCTCGCAATGGTAACAGCCGCTTTTTTTTATTGCCCTTGTAGGTAGACATACGGCCCACCTGATGGTGAGTGGTTACCGTTGCCCATGGACTTCAGCAACGCCAGGGGCAGAGCCAAACCGCTGTAAAAGCTTCCAACGAAGGTTCAATACTCGATGTGCCAGCGGTGACTACTGTACCAAGAGTATCCGACTAGGAGAAGGTCTTATGCGTCACTAGTCCCTGACCACGATAACCAGAAAGTTTTATATAAGCCCAATATGTAAAACTTTAACGGTTGGTTCTGCCTCTGCCATTGCTGAAGTCCATGGTAAGCACTCACCATCAAGTGGGCCATATGCTGGTCTACCTCCTATAAGGGCAATAAAAAAATAAAATATATTTGGATTTCAAACTCTGTCTTTTACTTTACAGGCTTATTTCATTGTGATGCCTTATATCAATAAACAAAACGCAAACCATTAAATGTAATTTTTCACAGCGAAATAGAAATACAATCTTGAAATAAATCTGATTTATAATTTATAATCAATCTATATATACACTCGCGAGCAAAAGTTTGGAATCACTTACTTGAAATTGGTTCCGCGCGATTTTGTGTACTAAATATTTTTTTGATAATCATAAAAATTAAATCATTTTAAAGGTTCAACTCTTATCTTAAAACTGATACCAAATTCATTAAAATCAAGCCCGTATTTAAGAAGCTATCCCGGATTAAGTGAAGGAATAACGAAAAAGACGTGTTTCAATTGATTGATACGTCGCGAGTTGCAACCTATTGACCCCTATAAAAGCACCTGTTATCGGATTTTCTTTATCAGTCGACTTTCACACGTTGTCCGGTACACATCTTCGCTACTTTTGACCCTTTACCTTGTACGACAATGTAGACGGAACACCTACAGAAGCAGCACAATCGTAGCCCTATTGCAAGAAGGGCTCAACCAGCGGGTTGTCGCTCGTCGGCTCCACATAAGCCAGTCCTGTATTACAAAAGCTTGCAAGCGCTTTCGGGAGACTGGTAGCTTTATCCCGAGACCAAGATCTGAACGGCGCCGGTGCACATCGGATAGGAATGACCGTTTTATCGTGTCAATCTCTCTCCGAAATCGGCATTTACCTAGTGTCGACGTCCAACAGGAGCTCCGAGATGTTCGTGGGAAAGCAGCCAGCGAGTGGATAGTTCGTCGACGACTAAAGCAAGCGAATCAGACTCCAAAAAGGTCTGTCACAGGCCCGAAACTCAGGGCAGCTCACCGACAAGCACGCCTTCAATTTGCTCGCACCCATCTTGATTGGGAAGTTGAGCAATGGAGGCAAGTCCTGTCCTCCGACGAGAGTAGGATGTGTTTGCACGGCAGCAACCGAAGTGGTCGGGTCTACCGGCGGCCTGGGGAGCGATTTGCGCAGTGCTGTTTCGCTGAAACAGTGGCTTTGGGGGCGGCTCTTGTATGTTGTGGGCCGGCATTTCCTTCGACGATAAAACCGAGCTTGTTTGCATGCCTGGCGGGGGACGAGGAGGCGGTCTAACTACGAACCGGTGTATTTCCAATATTCTGCTGGAACATGTCGTTCCCTATGCGGGATATACCGGTGATGACTTCTCCTTATGCACGATAACGCTCGTTGTTTCACTGCCCGTGTAATAACTGAATACTTTGAAGAAGTCGGTATCGCCACATTGGACTGGCCCGCGCTCAGCCTTGACTTGAATCCTATTGAGCACGTGTGGGATGAACTGAAGAGAAAGGTTCGTTCCAGAACTTCTGCTCCTTCATGTCTGAATGAGCTGAAATCGGCGTTGATTGAGAAGTGGGAAGATATCCCACAAGAATCAATTCAAAAGCTGATCAGGTCTATGAAGAATCGTCTTCGAGCAGTTATTAGGGCGAAGGGAGGGAACACAATGTACTGACACTTAATTTTAAGGCTAAATAAAATTTTTGTTTATTAATTTTTGTTGTTTCATTCTTTCATTATTTTACCATATTTCCTTGTTTTCCTACCTCCTTCACTTAATCCGGAATAGCTCCTTAACTACTGGCTCGATTTGAATTAATTTGGTATCAATTTAAAGTTGACAGTTGTACCTTTAAAATGATGTAATTTTTATGATAATTAAAATTTTATTTAGTAAGCAAGATCGCGCGGAACCAATTTCCAGTAAGTGATTCCAAACTTTTGCTCGCGTGTATATATAAAAATGAATTGCTGTTCGTTAGTCTCACTAAAACTCGAGAACGGATGGACTGATTTGGCTAATTTTGGTTTTGAATTATCTGTGGAAGTCCAGAGAAGGTTTAAAAGTTAGATAAATATGAAAATGCTTGGAATTACATAAACATAACAATTTGGTTTTCCCTTTGATGTGTCCCCCGTCCGACGAATTCCTTTTGTTTGTTTCAAGTTTATTTCATACAAAAGTTTAGATTTTTTATTTATCGATTTAGGCTCTACGAAGTCTGCCGAGTCAGCTAGTAAATAAATAAAAACATTAGCAGTAAATATAAAATCCAAACAGGTTGATTTTTCTTAGACAAGTGTGCACACGTCATACTGACTCAGCCGCTCCAACGTAAATGCTATTTCGCTCCTACTTCCGTTTGAGCCAAATTGAATGACATGTGACGTCATAAGAACAGAAGCCAAAAATTCCTTGCATTTTACCGAATTTTCTGGATTCTCCACGATTTACGCCACAAAGAAAATAGATGTACCAAGTTCAAATAAGAAAATATTGCATCACAACGAATATAATGTTTTAATTTTTTTTTCCTATTTCCCTTGTCGGCAAACGAGCATACGGCCCACTTGATGTGAGTGTGAATGAGTGGTTACCGTCACCCGTGGACGTCAGTAATGCCAGGGTTAGAGCCAAGCCGTTGCCCAGCGTTAAATGCTGTCATCTTTTGTTATTGTTATCGTCAGGCTAGTTCACGACTCATCGGGTGGCAAAGAGGTCGCTAAAATCTGTAGACATTGGTAAAATTGCGTAAATGTCGTCACTCACCTTGAAATGTGATAGAAGTCTCAATTGATTGCGCCGATTACATCTTGTAAGAATTAGAACTCGTTGTTTCGCCACAGAAAGCAGGAAGGTGAGGAGTTTCAATACGCCTTATCTTTTCTTCCCTACCTCTTCGCTGGTAGCCTAATGGGCTATTCAAGCTACGTCCAGACGGGTAGGAAACTCACGGACTCAACCTGAGAGAATTTGCTAACATTAGTCCTATCAAGAGCAGTGCTTCACAGAATCTAATACCGAAGCCCTATCACCAGGAAGTAGAGGTTGGAAAGTTAAAATCACGATATAGATGAGAAATGATCAGTCAGTCGCAGACCAGTAGCGCCGAATACTGTACCGAAAATTTAATTGCGTCAAAAGATACGCTTCCTCCTGTGATTTCAGGTATTCCAACATTCATCATACATCCTGATATTCCTACTGATGCTGCTATTCGGTTTCACTATCATCACGTTCGCATTTATGCTCACTCCGTTCTTCGATAAGGCCAGGGTGAGTTGTAACATCTCTTTTAATCTATATCTTATTGGGTGGATGTCTTGTGAGTGCGCACAGATAGGTACCGCGACCCTGCCTATTTCTATATTAGACATAGGCAGGGTGGCGTTACCTACCCTTGCGGACTCACAAGATGTTCTAGAGGTTTTAAAAAGCTTATTTGAAGAAGAACATAACGCTGGAAAACCACGATGGAGTTGGGTTTGCTTTGGTAAACGGTTTGCTCTCTGGCCATCTATGACATTGCACCGTGTGTCATGCTATGCAAATGACCGAGTCAAATCTTTTTTTAATGCGTGGAAGTTAATGGAAGATAAGATAGATATTTTATTGTCTTTAAAAGCATGTTTACCGTATTATTGACTATAACATTGTGTAACCAGACGGCGGGTATCCTGGGCAGTTTTGCGGTGAACCTGATGAGCGGCCTCTACTTCATTCAGGTGTTTGTCTCCAACGCGGACTCTCTCGCCTTCTGGTTCGTCTCACTCATCAGCTCCAGCTGCTACGCTCTAGCTATGGATAAGGTAAGGTTTAGAAAATAGGTATTTATTTATAGGTTATTTGGCCCTAGCTTAGGGCAATTCTCTGGACTGGATACCATAGATGACAAAAACACTTTCAGAGAAGTATATCTGGAGCAAATATAACCAGCCGATCGATACAGAAATCTGATCTACTACTTCTTTTACCACGGAAATACAGCAGATTGTCGCAAGGGATTTGCTATAATAATTTTGACATAATAAAATTTAGAACTTGTCTCTTTAAATTCTACGACCATTTCGCACATGTAAGAAATCTTCGCATTTGTTCCGCAGGCCTTAGTTTTGGACATGGCAGGCGTGGGTGTGACCTGGGATAACCTGTGGAGTGGCCCGGGAGTTCCCTTCGGGGGGAGTCTCATCATGATGGCTGTGGACACTGTGCTGTATGCTCTGGCCGCTTACTGGCTCGATGCCGTCATACCTAGTAAGTCTGAATAAAGAACTAAAAGTGCAATTTGTCCAATGGTAATATGATTCCGAAATTCAAATTCAAAAGATTTAAATAATTTTCTGTCCAGAAATCACTCAATCAATCATATTTGCGATGTATCAAAAAAATCAGAGCTCCGGAAGTAGCGGGCACCACCGGGCCAAGCCTTGATTTGAATTCAAGGATTTCTATCAATGACCTTGGCACGGTTTCCTATTTTGTGGTTTCTTAAATATGAGTTGCAACTTTTTTGGTCGGTTGTTCGCTGCGACTCCTGTTCTTTTGTAAGTTGCTGTGGCACTGACTCTAAGGTCTTCATTCTAGGTGAGTACGGTATCAAGCAGAAGCCCTGGTTCTGTCTGATGCCGTCGTTCTGGCTGGGTAGCCGCAGGAGCAGGGTCTCCGCCGTACACTTCCATTCCAATGGAGACGCGGCTCATAATAAGGATATTGAACCTGTACCCAGGTACCATAAATGTTGTGTTTGTGCCCAATTTTAGACCAGCTGTTGTGATGTGGTCTTGTGATATTATTATGAGCTTCCGATGTTTATTGCTTGTTTATTTATTTATTTAGACACACCAACAGCAATACACACAAAACATTCAAGCTTTAAATTAACCAGTATAAAATTAAGTACTGGTATGTAAGCCAGTTACAGGCATGTACAGCAATCTCTTATAGCACACTATGACATGTTACAACTTGTTTGTAAAACTAACCAAGTAAAATAGATGACAAGTTGAGAAATTTATTCATTTTAATTTTAATTGAAGTCTTTTATAAACCAGAGAGCTCCAAGACAAAGAAGCTATCAGGATCGTGGGTCTACAGAAGAGTTTCCGTCACTGTCGTCGACCCGAGATCAAGGCTATCGACGGAATAGACCTGAGCATCTACGAAGGTCAGATCACGGCCGTCCTCGGACATAACGGGGCCGGGAAGTCCACTCTGTTCAATATCCTGACCGGGCTCACGGCGCCCACCGCTGGGACCGCCTACGTGTATGGACTTGATGTTAGGTAAGTATTTGTTCGGAGAAGATTAAATCATTAGAAGAATATTTGTCACTCTATACGGCCAGAGTACTAGATAATTTTCTTTTAACCTACTAGTGGCCCGCTCCAGCTTCGCTCGGGTCTTTAACAAAAAATTCAAAATCAAAAATTATAATACACACACATTTACCATTACATTTGCGTCAGCTTTCTAAAAATACAAAAATTGTGAAGGTAGTTTGAATAATTATTATTATTTTAGTGAACTTTTATTTTCATTTAAATGATATTTGTTTTTATCTAAAAAAAAATATTTTTTTTATATTATTATTTGTCTAATTTTCGTAACATTATTGGAGTTTTAGTAAGGATCTCTAATAAAAAAAAAGAAATTAGCCTATGTCACTCGGGGATAGTGTAGCTTCCAAACAGTGAAAGAATTTTTCAAATCGGTTCAGTAGTTTTAAGGGCCTATTCAATACATCAAACAAACAAATAAATCCTTCCTCTTTGGTAAAGATGAACAACGCAGTTCTGTCTATTAAGTTCAATACGTACTCACGCTATTACGTGGAAATTGTATTGATTTTGACAAGGTTTGATGAGGTGAAATTTGGTAATTGTGTGTGAGGGCTATACAATATTTCAGTATCGATTAGTACAGAATGCGAACTCTTCATATTGCCCTTGAAGTGGCCGGTTGTACTAGGCCTTCAGCCACTTGCAGCTTACCGTTTGGTATTTAGATAATGTTGAAAACAGATCTAACGCACGAAGAAGCAGTGCACGGAAGACAATGGCTAGGTTTTTATTACATGTACTGGTCAGGTCGAGTTTACAAAACGCACAAAATGAAAATAATCATAACACGCACTTAGTTATACTGACTCTATCCCTGGCATTGCTGAAGTTCATGAGCAATGGTACCACTCACCATCAGGTGGGCCGTATGCTCGTCTGCCTACAAGGGCAATAAAAAAGACTGGTCGGACCAAAACGTCAGGTGAAATAACAGTGGGCGTCATATGATTAGTCGTGGGGTCAGCGTCGCATTTCCTCTTATCACGTTGCACAGAGATTTGGGATGATCTGTTACGACCTGACTGACGTCAACCCATCTTGGGTTACACCAGCAAATCCATGGTGACGTGTCGTATGGAGGGATTTTTAGTCTTCTTTTAATGTTTCTTTTATTTCACCCGTTTATTTTTATTTTATGAATTGCATTTTATCATTATGAACATTAAAACCAATATTTAATGATTCAAATACCAAAAGATAAGATTAGCACGTTAAATATTGCGAATTAAAGGTTAAACTAAGTTTTCGGGACTGGATTGAATGCGCGATTATATTCGCGGATCCGAATGTTTACAGTGTGCTTAGTGCGAGTTTTTTAACGTTCTCGATAGCGTAAAAGTTAGCTCATATTTGTAAGGAGTGGGATCGTTTGCGTACGTTTGCCGCTAGGGGCGCTGTTCCAACTGCATACAAAATTGGCTTAACTTTTACGCTATCGAGAACTTTAAGAAACTCGCACTAAGCACACTGAGGTCTGTCATTATGTGGATATTTTCGTGATCGCAGGGATCCAAACGACATGTACGAGATCCGTCAGATGATAGGCGTGTGTCCGCAACAGGACGTACTCTTCGATCTGCTGTCCGTCAAGGAGCATCTCCAGTTCTTCGCGGCCGTCAAGGTTCGTGAGGAACTACCCTACAATTAGTATGTATGTGTGTATGTGCATGTGTCCAGCATCAATGTCGCTATCCACTGCGCGGAGGACAGGAGTGAATGGAGGAACATAGTCCTAACAAAAGTGCTCAGTAAAGTTCACGACCCTCAGAACTGAGGAATACGACGCACGGAGGAGGAGGGTGTGTATGTGTATATGTGCTGGAGACGAATGCTTGGTATTTCATAAAAATAATTTATTCTCAAAGTGAGCAGTAAACAAAATGAGTTTGGGAACCACTGGTCTAGAACAATCCAAAAAGGAAAATGTTATGATCAACTAGAAATGTCACACACTTTTTACGATGTTATTTCAGGGTATCCCACGAGAGAGAGTTCAAGAGGAGATTCAGAAGGCCCTTGCTGAAGTTGGACTGTTGGAGCAGGCTGGTGTGTTCGCCAAACATCTCTCCGGAGGGCAGAAGAGAAAGCTTAGCATATCGATAGCTTTCATAGGAGATCCGAAGGTATTCTTTGTGTTATTTTGACCTTTGCGGTCATATTTTTTTATTTATTGCTTAGATGGGTGGACGACCTCACAGCCCACCTGGTGTTAAATGGTTACCGGAGCCCATAGACATCTACAACGTAATCGCGCCACCCACCTTGAGATATAAGTTCTAGGGTCTCAAGTATAGTTACAACGGCTGCCCCACCCTTCAAACCGAAACGCATTACTGCTTCACGACAGAAATAGGCAGGATGGTGGTACCTACCCGCGCGGACTCACAAGAGGTCCTACCACCAGTAGTGGTATGTAGTGTCATGGTGCATTTGCTGCTCTTGCAGAGGCGTTATACAAAAATAATTATCTTTATATATTACTAGCCGTACTCGCCCGCTTCGCTGGACATTTAAAATTAACATTATTATTTATTATCATTATTATTAGGGAGTCCAACACTCATATAAATATTAGTCTATCCATTAAGTACATATATTTTCTACATGGATACCAAGTTTCAAGTCAGTCGGATGCACGGTTCAGTAGTTGTAACGGAACATCCGTAAAAACCACTGTAGATTTATATATTATTATAGATGTAGATCAAAGAATAAAGATCTCACAAACAAAACACTACAGGTCTGAAACTGAAAATTGCGTTTAGCATAAAAATATAACACGGGGTAATTGGTTGCATCCTCTCATATCTAGGGGTGCAAAGCTAGTGGCTTAAGGGACATTTTTGCAACTTTACAGAAAAGCCATTTAAAGTTTAAATTTTTGAAAAAAATATCGTAACAAAAAACTTCTTCAGCTATTTCAGTACCTATCTTTACCTAACTTTATTACAGTTCAATTAAAATCATCGAACTCTTAATGCTTATACCAAAATAAAATGGACCTTTGCTTACAAAGAAAACTGTCATGTGTTAAGCGAAATGTCGTTTAAACCAAATATGTAGTCTTTCACCCCTCGATATATATTTCGTTTAATCACCGTCTGCCTCCCTCCCTCCCTTACTCGTTTCGCCCCTAATTTTGCGAGTGGTAAGGGATTTTGTAAAACTACACCAATTTGAAGACATGAGTGAATGAAGGGGTTAAGTACCATTTTTGATTTGATTTTTTAGGTTTTTACATTAAATGAAGGTGCTATGTGCCTATAAACCATATTAGACCCTAAAACTCTGGGTCTAAATGCTATTTTTAGAAATTGCATTTGATGAAGAGTTATGTCCGAAGAAAAAGTACAAGTTTGGGGATGCTTAACGACAAAGGGAAGATCTTCCACCGAGCGGATGATATTTCTCGGTAGACCGACGGTCCAAATGTTGTTGTTCGGAACTTGTATATATGCGCTTTATCTTGAAAATGTCGTAAGCGAGATTCAGGCATCTGTCAATTATCTTGCGTTGTATGATGGCTACCCGCCACATCACTCCCCTCCGAGACTGGAGGTCGTGTCATTTTTTAGTTAGCGTTGTCCGTGCTGAGATTAGCTTGCAAGGGCCAGTGCTGCTCGAAGCCTGCGGTGAGTCGAGGCTGAGCTTGAATGCTGCGTGCGTGTCGCCAGTGCTGCTCGAAGTTTGCAGTGAGTCGAAACTGAGCTGAATGCTGCGTGATTGTCGCCAGTGCTGCTCGAAGTCTGCGGTGAGTCGAGACTGAGCTTGAATGTTGCGTGCGTGTCGTGCGTAGTCCATGTGATGCAGAGCTGCCACGCCGGAGATGTGTGACCCCAAGCGTTGATGATCCGGTCGTGGGCTGCGATGAACTGTAGCGGCGTGATGAGGCAGTGAAGTTGCGTGCCGTAGGACCAGGAAGCGCGGTGAGCCGGCTGCGATGGTCCTGTTGAGGCTGCGATGCTGGCTTGCTGTGGGACGACTTTCAATGACGTGCTTTTATCTGCGAGAATGCGGGGATTGTGGTAGCCGAAGTTCTTGATGCGCTGATGATGAATCAGAAGGTTGCGTGTTCACATCACGTCGCAGGTCACCAGTTTTGGGAATGCTTAACGACAAAGGGAAGATCTTCCACCGAGCGGATGATATTTCTCGGTAGACCGACGGTCCAAATGTTGTTGTTCGGAACTTGTATATATGCGCTTTATCTTGAAAATGTCGTAAGCGAGATTCAGGCATCTGTCAATTATCTTGCGTTGTATGATGGCTACCCGCCACACAAGTTACAAAAGTTTGTTGCCCGTTTTCTCAAAACTAACATTGTATTGTTACGCCATTTATCGCCGAATAGCCGAACCGAATTTGAAAGGAACTAGTAACATCTAGAACGCTCGAGAAGTACAACGCCATCTATTGTCAGATAGTGGAAACACACAAAGATGCAACTCGACTTGTGAGGGATGTTCTCGTTAAATCTAGGGATGTCGAATCGACTGTAAAAGCGTTGCAGAGATGGCACGAAATGAGTAATCGGATCTACTCGAGCGAAACAGTGAACGGATCACCTGAAGCGAAGCAGAAGAAGTGAATTAAGAATTTTAAAGTGTTTCATGAGTGTTATAAGTGACAATACAGTGTTAACTTGTACTTCGGTAGAATTTTTATTTATCTCGAACCAAAGTGCGTAACAGTATCATATCTCCTTCATCCACTCATGACTTCTATTACAAGGGGAGAATTCACCTTTTTGGGTGTGAACAGAACTTGCATAAGGTCGATTGTGTTGAGTTTTGTGTTCGAATCTCAGGCGGGTACCACTTTTTCTAATGAAATACGTATGTACTCAACAAATGTTCACGATTGACTTCCACGGTTAAGGAATAGCGTCGTGTAATAAAAATCAAACCCACAAAATTATAATTTGCGTAATTACTGGTGGTAGGACCTATTGTGAGTCCGTACGGGTAGGTACCACCGCCCTACTTATTTCTGCCGTGAAGCAGTAATGCTTTTTATTTTGAAGGGTGGGGCAGCCGCTGTAACTATACTTGACACCTTAGAACTTTATATCACAAGGTGGGTGGCGCATTTAGATTGTAGATGTGTATATCCTCCAGTAACCATTTAACACCAGGTGGGCTGTGAGCTCGTCCACGCATTTAAGCAACAAAAAAAAAAAAAAGAGTTGTTTGAGGCCAAGTATGCTCAGCTGGGTGGCGGTTGCAGATCATAATCCTGGACGAGCCGACGGCGGGCGTGGACCCGGTGTCGCGGCGACAGACCTGGCGCGTCTTGCAGCGCGCGCGCCGCGGCCGCGTGTTGCTGCTGACCACGCACTTCATGGACGAGGCCGACATCCTCGGAGACAGGAAGGCCGTCATCAGCAAGGGGAAGGTACGCCAGCTCACATCGCTATATGCATGCTGCTATTGCCGATCTTTTGAACTTGAATTAACAATTGCTGTAAACCGATTTTTAAAGATAATTTGCCTGGTTTTTGATCAGAATAAGAGGGTATTCCTGACCTCATTATGATAAAGCTCAATCCCCCATACGAGCCTGTTGAGGTTTGGGCTGGGTAATATAACATAATTACTTATATACTTATATAATAAACTTATAATCATATAATATAATTTACTGGTGGTAGGATCTCTTGTGAGTCCGCATGGGTAGGTACCACCACCCTGCCTATTTCTGTCGTGAAACAGTAACGCGTTTCGGTTTGAAGGGTGGGGCAGCCGTTGTTACGTTACTTGAGACCTTAGAACTTATATCTCAAGGTGGGTGGTGCATTTACGTTGTAGATATCTATGGGCTCCAGTAATCACATAACACCAGGTGGGCTGTGAGCTCGTCCACCCATCTGTGCAATTAAAAAATTAAAAAATAAATTCAATATAAATATTTCATTAGTTATTAAGTCGTTGGCGCCTGACCCATCAGTGTCAGGTAATGGAAAAGCATTACAAAAAGCATTACGTTATAAAAATATGAAGGCTCTTTTCTTCATAATATGATTCAACCAAAGTATTCATTTCCTGATATCTGAATCGTCCAGCTATTCCGAGTAGTAGTGCTGAGTCATTAAGCCACCACACGCTCAGCGTTGAGGTCCACTCGGGGGACCACTAGGGGGCAACTTGTGACTTTCCTACCATTACATTTCCAGGTCCGTTGCGCCGGCACATCGCTGTTCTTAAAGAACAAATTCGGTATTGGATATCATCTAACTCTAGTACTGGACGGTGAGTGTGATAATTTTTTTTATAAAACCTATGTTTTTTTTATTGCCCTTGTAAGCAGACGACAATACCGGCCCATTTCACAGTGAATGATTACTGTCGCCCATAAACGTCAGCAATGTGAGAGCTAGGCCGCTGCCTAACGTAAAGAATGCTCCACAAGCCTCGTTTGAAGAGGCTGTATATGGCTTTGAGGGCAAAATGGATGGGTCAATTAGGTTAGTGTTAAGAATCTGGCTGCCTTAACGAGGTCATTCACTCCGACACGGAGGGACGGACGTGACGTCTGCGGACTACATGGGGGCGCCGGTGGGTCTGGTTGCAGGCGCGTGCCGCGAGCACCAGATCACGCGGCTGGTGCGGGGCCACGTGCCGCGCGCGGAGAAGGCCCGGCGCCACGGCCGCGAGCTGTCCTACATCCTGCCGCACTACGCCGTGCATCTCTTCCCGCCGCTGTTCCTCGCCATCGAGCACGAGATCAAGGACAAGACCAACCGGCTCGGTCAGTGACGTCACAACGCCGTAGTGCGCTCTCGGCGATTCTATCTCGCACCGCTGACGACTAGACCAAGGGCCGTAACCTCTACAGTACAGTAGTACACGGAATCCTGGTTTGAGCAAGGCGATCGTGTATAGCTTGTCTCTGGTTGTTTTTATTTATGTATTGCTTAGATGGGTGGACGAGCTCACAGCCCACCTTGTGTTAAGTGATTACCGGAGTCCATAGACATCTACAACGTAAATGCCACCACCCACCTTGAGATATAAGTTCTAAGGTCTCGGTAAAGTTACAACGACTGCCCCGCTCTTCAAACCGAAACGCATTACTGCTTCACGGCAGAAATAGGCGGGATTGTGGTACCTACCCGTGCGGACTCACAAGACGTACTAGCACTAGTACTGGTCTTCAAACCAATATTTAAATATGTATTGACATATCCAAAGACTTGTTCGAAATTCTAAATTTTTTAGGTAAATATTCGTACTACCCACAGCCGATGTGATGCCAATATACCGTATATGATTACACCAGAATACGGCTACTTGTATTCATATAAATAATCCATAGAAAAACTTGTTTCTAGATTTTACTTATTATTCAAATCTGTCATTCGATCTGTCATAGATAAACTTTAAATATTTCAGATTCATATTACGTAATCGATATTCGCATTCGCATATCGAAATAATCGAAGTTGCGCATCACTAGTTCAATACTGATTTATTTTCGAAACTAGGTATCACTAGCTACGGTGTCTCAATGACCACTCTAGAAGAAGTTTTCTTGAGTCTGGAGGGGGAGAACGCCGAAGAGACGGAAGCAGTGGAAGGGGTGTCCTCCGTGAAGCTGGTGCGGGCGCGGGCTTTGTCCAGGAGTCTGTCGCTACAGAGCAAAACCTTGAGTTATCAGGTGAGACTATTATTCTTAACTGGTGCAGTCTTGTATACGTCACTACTCAACAAGTCCTTTCAGATCCTCCAGATCCACTATCGGTACTTGTAGACATTCCAAGCATTGGTGAACTGAACGTCGAACCCGTCGAATCTGTCAAAGGGTTCCTCGGGAAAATTAACCCATAGGCATAGTCCACTGAGTTTCCCGCCAGATCTTCTCATGGAACTGCGCTTCCGATTCGGTGGTAGTTTCTGCGTAGCCCTGTTCTTTCTATTGCGTTAGCAACGTCCTTAGGTTAGAACCCTGTGAGCTCATCTACTCGCCCGGTTACGCTGGCATAGCCCCCAATCTACCAGCTTAGGTAGTAATAAAAAGTCGAAGACACTCTATCACGATTACGCGCACCCGATCGAAACGCCCCCCTCCGAAATCCACATGGGTTATAAGCGTAAAAACTGCAACAAACGTCATGGACATAGTTCAAAATTATTATTTTTTCGTATTTTATAACAAAAGCAATAATCGATTGTTCGCTCTGATCTTTACTGGTGGTAGGACCTCTTGTGAGTCCGCACGGGTAGGTACCATCACCCCGCCCATTTCAGCCGTGAAGCAGTAATGCCTTTCGGTTGGGAGAGCGGGGCAGCCGTTGTAACTATACTGAGACCTTAGAACTCATATCTCAAGGTGGGTGGCGCATTTACGTTGTAGATGTCTATGGGCTCCAGTAACCATTTAACACCAGGTGGGCTGTGAGCTCGTCCACACATCTAAGCAATAAAAAAAAGCCTGTAAATCCTGGTGGATGGACTCTTTGGTGAGGCGCATTTTACTCGGCCAGAACTCTGAAATGTGACAGGCCGTATTATATTGTATACTATATGCGTGTGTTGGAATTTTAAAGGAGCTGAACGACAAGGATCCCCAGAAGACCCCGACCCCGCTCCCCCCGCCGCCGGCCTCGCACGCGCTGCACTCCACCACGCACGGCGTCGAGCACATCAAGGTACGACCTCATATGTGGTGGTGGCCATACATAATGAATTAGGAACAGTCTCTGAAAACAACTGCTGCTTGCGTTGATAATCCTCAATGCTGAGGGTCGTGGTCTTATGAGGCTTTCTTGAGAAAATACACATGGTCGGTTCCCATGTCCTTCCACGGCAATGCTTTTGGAAGAGATTTAGTTCCTCGAGACCGCTGAAGCCTTTTTTTATTGCCCTTGCATGCAGACGAGCATACGACCTACCTGATGATAAATGGTTACCGTCGCCCATGCACTTGAGCAATGCCAGGAGCAGAGCCAAGCCGCTGCCTACCGTTAAGTACTCTCGTACCCCGTTAGCGCTCGGGAAACACCGCGGAGGGGAGCTCATTCCAAAGCCTTATTTGGGTCCGGCTAATTAACCACCGCCCGACATTCGGCGTTGACTGTTTTACGATGGAAAGGTCGAACTCCAACTTAACTCTCCTCTTTCCTCATCCGGGCTTGGGACCGGCATTGGCAAAGTTACGAAAACGAAACTAAATCCGAATAAATAATAGAAGTAATGATACCTAATAAGAGAATAAGAAAGCGAAACGAGTACTGTACGCGCAATGTAACACAAAGCCACGGTCACCCGAGGAAGGGGCAACTTACACCAACTACCCTCGGAATACAATGCAAGTTTTTTTGCACTAAATTAGAAGAACAGTTCACGACCTGGCTTAGTGGTCATCGTAGTAAAACTATCACAGCGCGTTTGCCGCCACTTACCTTGAGGCATGAGGTCGAAATTTCAATTATTAGCAGTCTTACCAGGCAAGTTGATGGTTTGGGTGGTTTAACAATAAGGGAAGATCTTCCACCAAGCCGATGATATTGCTCGGTAGACCGACGGTCCGAATGTTGTTCGGAACTTGTATATATGTATTTAAATTGTCGTAAGCGAGTTTTTTTTTATTGCTTAGATGGGTGGACGAGCTCACAGCCCACCTGGTGTTAAGTGGTTACTGGAGCCCATAGACATCTACAACGTAAATGCGCCACCAACCTTGAGATATAAGTTCTAAGGTCTCAAGTATAGTTACAACGGCTGCCCCAATCCTTCAAACCGAAACGCATTACTGCTTCACGGCAGAAATAGCTAGGGTGGTGGTACCTACCCGCGCGGACTCACAAGTCCTACCACCAGTAATTCATCAAGGCATCAGTCAAATATCTTGTGTTATATGATTGCTACACTCACAATGGAAAGGCCTTTAATAAACTACGTAATAAAGTCTTCTAATTTCGTGAATACACTAAACGATAATTACTTTCGATACATCCAGGTAACTCCCGAAGTTCCCATCTCGGTGGACGCTCTCAGCGAGCTCGTGAAGACTCGGCCCTCGTGCTGGAGAACGTTCTGCGCTCTGGTCTACATAAGGACCGTGCGGATGATCAGGGATCCCTACAAGCTGTACGTCATGATCTTCTTGCCTATAAGTGAGTATTCATTTAATCTGAATGTTGCAGATATCATTTCTATTGTCTGAAGCCACTGCGTTCATCTGCAGTGCGATGATCAGACCAAAAGACCATTATTGGTATCAGACCCTGAGATAAACTTTAGCCCTCACCTCCTCTTCGACTTGAGTTTAATTAAAAATGGTGGTTTGATCGTGAAGCTGCTGATCTTCATGAGCATCATGTTTTTTTTTATTGCTTAGATGGGTGGACGAGCTCACAGCCCACCTGGGTTAAATGGTTACTGGGGCCCATAGACATCTACAACATAAATGCGCCACCCACCTTGAGATATAAGTTCTAAGATCTCAGTATAGTTACAACGGCTACCCCACCCTTCAAAATAAAAAGCATTACTGCTTCACGGCAGAAATAGGCAGGGTAGTGGTACTTACCCGTGTGGACTCACAAGAGGTCCTACCACCAGTGAAATGTATGAAAAAAAATGAGCTATAAACCGTTGATAAATCATACTTAACACCATTTGTCGCTTGTTCCCAGTATCCTGTGCCCTCGGTCTTTACATGAAGTCACGACAAATAGTCTTCTTCCGAATGCAGCCACTGACTTTGGGCCCAGATGCCTATTTCAACAAGACCCCCATAGCGCTGCATAGCGAACAGAATACATTGAGAGAAGACTTCAAAGAATCGCTAGGGATCCTCGGAGCTCACCCTATAGTGGACTTCGATGGAAACTTCTCAAGTCTACTAGACATGGAGAACTTTGGGGCGTTTAGTCTGAAGGAGAGCTTAAATCCATATGGGAAGGTCATGGCGTATTATAACACAACTTACACGCACAGTTTGCCGATAATCATCAATTTGCTGGACAACAGTCTCTATAGGTGAGTCATAAAGTTTACTATTCAACATCAGGCTTTGTTACACAAAGTTACAAACAGCAGTATTAAAATAGCAGAAGTCTTTAAAGTTCGCGATAGGCTGCGGCTTGACTGTGTCCAGGGATTGCTGACAGCCACGAGCGACGGTTACCATTCACCATCAGATAGGCCGTGGGCTCAAGCTTACAACGACAAAAAATTAAATAAAAAAGTAGGTTTTGTGATACCACTGTCTGGTCTTAAGTGGGTACCGAAGTCTAGTACCGAAGACATTAACCACGCCAATGGCGCCACCCAAATTGAAGCATGAGCTCAAGGTTCAGTTTTACAGCACAACAACTGCTTCAGCCTTCAAACCGAGCCCACTGAGTTTCTCGCTGCATCTTTTCAGTGGGTCGTGCTTCCGATCAGGTGGTAAATTCAGCGAAGCACTGCTCTTGCTAGGGCCAGAGTTAGCAACAATTCCGGTTTAAACCCCGTGAGCTCACCTACACGCTGGAATAAAGCTGATATTAGTCTTTCAAGGCTATCGGCATAAGTAGAAAAAAACTTCAAACCGAAACGCATTTCTGCTTCACGGCAGAAATAGGCGGGGCGGTGGTACCTACCCGTGCGGACTCACAACCCATTCTACCACCAATAATATAATATTGTCCCATTATGCATCCTTTTATTCTTTCGGTAAGGTCCTGCCCATTTCTCCCGAGGAGCAATAATAGGTTTCCGTTTACGGGTCAAAACGAATAGTTTATTGTAATATTGGTTTAGCTTATGTAAAGTGAACGGAAAAATACTACGAGGTTAGAAGCCCGACACGTTGGACTGACCAGATCCGCACTACTCTCGACACCACAGTCCAAGATGCTCTACACTCAGCGGCAGATAAGAACAAATGGCGTAGAGTGATCCACAATAAACTCTTGTTGCGAGGAGGTGGCCACAACCTTCAGCATTGAGGAAACCGAAGCGAGGAGGAGAGGTTTAGCTTCATATCAACAACTAACGACACCTAATTGTTGTTCACGCAGGGCCCTAATGTCAGCGTCGGGGCTGGAGCACCACTTCAAACCAATAGAAGTGATGGCCCATCCGTTCCAGCAGACAGAGCAGCAGGAAGAGTTCAATTTGGGCAACGTCATCTGCGCTGTGTTCGTCGGTATGATCTTCGCGCTGGTACCCGTGACCCTGGCTGTCGACATCGTCTACGACCGGGAGGTAACGTGCCGTCCCCTAAAGTACAAAAGGCAACTGAATTATAAATGAAAATTGTATTTCTTTCTAGAAGTTAAAAACTGTATATTTGAATACATGCTAGACAGAGAACGCACTATTTTGTACAGTGACGTCAGAAGAACACAATACGAACTCACTGACAACTCTTTCCGGTTTCTGTTTTCTTTCTTCACTTTCCTGCTTTGTTATCCGATACTTCTGATTGTTCTGCGCTATCTTCAACCTCATTACCAAATTTGTTAATGGTCAAATTCAAACTCACCTCTGACGCTGAGCAAAAAGAAAGTCAATGAAAACGTGATAAAAAGGCCTTATTTTGACCTATACCTCTTGAATTGGGCATCCCAGTTCTCATGGCTAGTTTTTTTTAATTTAATAATCGTGGAGGTAGGTGTACTTACTCATGGACCACCATAGACAGACACTTGATATCGGATCGCTTGGTGTAAAGAGTTTATGGGAGCATTCAGACATGAGATCGGAGTCCCATTTACAATGTATAAGGAATAACCGTTTCACGACAGAAATAGGCGGGATGGTGATACTATCTCCAGACATACCATATTTCGGAGTTCGGAATTTATTTGGGATGTTTCCATTTGATCTTATTGCTTTGGCACCGACCTAATGTGCTAACGACACATGAAGTGTTAGGTGATTTTGAGGCATGGCATTGCCCTCATTCAATTCATTAAAGACATTTGTAGTGTTGGGAATAGTGTGAAAAACCCTTGGGAATAAAACTTGAAATATGTTATTAAACATCAAATAGATATGAAGTTACGAAAGGAATGTTTGATTGGTTTGTGTTCAACGCATTCCAACGTACTTTATCCTACTGTAGTGAACTTGCACTGTTGACATCACTAAAACTACTTTTGCAATTTGATTTTGCATTTTCTTTTGTCATTAAATTCTCTTCTTTAACCCGTCTCCAATTCTCTTCATATGGACTCCTACCTTTTTGGTCTCTTGACTTTCGCATCCAGTCCCTACCATTTTGATCAGGTGGTCGGTCCATAATTACCAATGAATTCGAATATTTTACAGTTTTGGTGCCCATTCGTCCGTGTTGAGCCCACTAGGTTTTAATTATGTCCACGACCCGAGAAAACCCAAATTAATCGCACGATCGTAATTGTTAATAAAGTGGCGCTCTGTTGCATAGCACCGTCCATGTGGATGAGTGTATATCATGTGCGCCAAGATATTCGTGTAATCGAAATAGCCCAAAAGTCTTGTGCGTTTGTTACAGATCAAAGCAAAGAATCAACTTCGCGTCAACGGCCTCTCGATGAGCATGTACTTCCTCACTTACTTCACGATACTCATCATCATCATGATCATCACAAGCGTCGGCGTCCTGATTCTGGTGAGTTATGGAAATGCTGAGGAAATCAAGGATTTAGTGATTTGAATCATACACTCGGTGACAGCGTCGAAAGCGTCAAAAACAAGCCCAATACTTTTTAGTTGTGAACGAAACAGCCTATTAGAACGTGAATGAGTACCATAGTAAATAAATGATATCTGTGTGTAATAATAATAAATGACGATGAGCAAACAAACCTGTTCGCCATACGAATGTCTGCCCGATGTGGGAACCGAATTGACAACCCTCGATGCAACAGGGCCGTTTACTACAGCGTCAGTCCGATTCAATATCATTCCAAAGCTACAGGGACCACTTCGACAAAGCGGCACGACACGAGAACCCTCTGGAATGGAAAGCAGTCGACGTCGCCCCAAACACGTCATTTCGGATCCTCCCGATCCACTAAAGGTGTTTTAGGGTACCTCAAGCACCGGTCACCGTTCTCGTCGAAGCCGTCGATTGCAACGAAGGGCTCGACGAGTAAACTAACCCACAGACACAGCCCACTGAGTTTCTCGCCGGATCTTCTCAGTGGGTCGCGTTTCCGATCCGGTGATTCTGCGAAGCACGGCTCTTGCTAGGGTTAGTGTTAGCAACGTCGTCAGGTTTGAGCCCCGTGAGCTCACCTACTAGTTAAGGTTACGCTGAAATAGCCTCTCAAGGCTATCAGCTTAGGTAGGAAAAAAATGCTACCGGAATGACGTTAATCATTTCGATAAAACCTCGAATCCTGAACATCTTAACAGGTGATCCTGAACGACATCCCGAGCCTGACTAACGGCTCGGCCATCACGATGCTGTGCGGTCTGCTGCTGCTGTACAGTCCCTCCGCCATATTGTTCAACACGTGCCTCTCGTACATATTCGACAAGATGGACTCCGCCCAGAGCATCATGCCGAACATCACGACCTGGGTCGGAGTCATCCCGTTCATCTTGGTCGCTGTTCTCGACACCTTTAAATGGGGTGAGCTGGTTTGGCTAATCAATAGAGTTTTGCTTTTTTTGCTTAGATGGATTTTCTCTCGTCCCACCTGGTCTTAAGTGGTTAGCAGAGCCCATAAACATCTAGAACGTAAATGTAGCCACCCACCTCGACACATGAGTTGTAAGGGTCTCACTTTTAACAGTACAACGGCTGCCCCGCCATTCAAACCGAAACGCATTACTGCTTCACTATAGAACAGACAGGGTGGTACCTACCCGCGCGGACTCACAACACATTCTACCATCAGTAATATATTAGGTACCCAGTATATTTTAGGTTTATCCTCTTACTTTTTATTTGCCTTATTTTCGAACCCCTCTTGGGAATATATAGGCCGCTAGGGTGTACCGTGACCCTAGCTTGCACCAGCCCCATAAAGGATGAAGCTTGAGAAAGCCAAGGTTTGATAAACGAAGAGACTTTGTCAGTAAAACAGTCTGACCATGGTCCCATTTGAAGTATACTGGGAAATACCCCAAAAGATTTTTTTTCTTTTTAATGTTTTGTGTCTGAGTGTGCAAACGAGAGCGCGGATAAGGCGATAGAGAGGCACGATCGACCCAAGCGTTGGCTTGTGACACATTTATCTCTTCTCGCGTGACGTCGCAGCTAGCAGTTCGAATAGTTCTGCTACTCACGTTATTACGTAAAGCTATCATCCGTAAACAGACTATACAGACATCCTTTTTTTGTATATGTTAACCATCCACTGTGCTTATGAGAATATTCTTAATATTCAGTCCCTTACAGGCAGCGACATCGCGTTCTACCTTCACCTGGTGTTCAGCTTCCTGGACGTCATGTACATACCGTACGCCATCATGTACTATGTCGACAGGTCAGTGACACAGAAATATCCATTAGAGACCAGCGTTTCTATCACCAAGTGCAAAGGAAACTGAGAGCCCTCGTAATACTGTGATGAACACACTTCATCGAAGAACAGAAGGTATCTGACAAAGACTTGAGGCAAAGTCCCCACTCCGTGGAAGATCTCACAGGACAGCTGTTAGACCTCAAGTCTCAAATGAGCACCTATTTTTTTTATTGCCCGTGTAGGCAGACTACCATACGAACTGATGGTGAGTGGTTACCTTTGCCAATGGACTTCACCAATGCCAAGACCAGAGCCTAGCCGCTGCCTACCCTTTAATATTCTCCACCAGCCTCGTTTGAAGAAGGACATGTGATAGCGCTCGGGAAACACCGTGGAGGGGAGCTCATTCCAAAGCCGGATGGTACGTGGTAGAGAAGATCATAAAATACGTATGCTAATATAAAAGAGATATTTGAAAGTCTTGTAAGTTGGAGTGTGCTGCTTCCGAGCGCTATGACACGTCCTTCTTCAAACGAGGCTTGTGGAGAGTATTAAGCGGTAGGCAGCGGCTTGGCTCTGTCTCTGGCATGGCTGAAGTCCATGGGCAAACCACTCACCATCAGTTCGTATGCTCGTCTGCCTACAAGGGCAATAAAAATAAATAAAAATAATTGGAAATCATCTTTTATAATATGAGGTAGTGCCCTCTGTGAATTGATATTTTAACTTCACGTATAATATGTTCTATCTCATTCTCTCGCCGGCTGAATCCTATACATTTATGTGTTTGTCTCTCTATGGACTTATTTTTTCGTTTCATCGAGTTTGAAATCACAACGGTCTTAAGGAAGTTTCACTTTAAAAAAAAACCTGCACAGGGTATACGTGACGTGCAACCTCCGGGGGGTGTGCACTACCCCTACCCTGGGCAGCTACTTCACGGCGGAGGTGTGGGTGCTGATCGCGGCCATGCTGCTACACGTGCCGCTCTGCGGGGCCGCACTCCTCGCCGCCGACAAGCTCAAGACTGGAGGGATCGCGGCCTTTGTAACTAAATTTTCGGACTTCTTTTTTTTATTGCTTAAATGGGTGAACGAGCTCACGGGCCACCTGATGCTAAGTAGTTACCGGAGCCACCGACAGCATAAATGCCGCCACCCACCTTGAGACATAAGTTGTAAGGTCACACTTTTAACAGTACAACGGCTGCGCCACTCTTCAAACGCATTACTACTTCACGGCAGAAATAGGCAGGACGGTGGTACCTACCTGTGCGGACTCACAAGAGGTCCTACCACCAGTGATTACGCAAATTATAATTTTGTGGGTTTGATTTTTACTACACGACGATATTCCTTCACCGTGCAAGTCAATCTTGAACATTTGTTGAGTGCGTATTTCATTAGAAAAATTGGTACCCGCCTGAGGGATTCGAACACCGGTGCATCGCTCAACAGAATGCACCGGACGTCTTATCCGTTAGGCCACGACGACTTGGTGTCGGAATTCACATGAGGTGCCTTAAATAATCCACCCGTGCCGAGGCTATAATCAAGTTAATTCATATTAAGAGATACGACTTTTGTACAGAGTTAAGGAATATGTTTTCATTATAGATTTATGTTGACAGAGAAGTCGCAAGCGCTCCGAGACGAGAGCGGGGAGCGTGAGCGGCGCGGGGGGCGGGGCGGCGGGCGCGGGGGGCGAGGAGGCGGCGTACGGCACGGAGGGGGGCGAGGACGGTGACGTCAAGCGGGAGAGACGACGGGTCGCCAACATACTCGCCAGCAACCAGAACAACATGCCACCCTTACTTGTTCATGTAAGCTGTTTTTGAAGTGAAAACTTCTTTAGAATCGTTGTGATTTCAAACCGGATGCAACGGAAAAAACGACAGGTAAGAGACACAAATACAAAAATGTGTAGGATGAAGCCAGCAAAGAATGAGACAGAAATATACATAATATTTAATACAGCGCCATCTGTGAGATTTTTTAATACTAACGTGTGTATGAAAGCTCTTGTAGTGAATTTTAATTTAGGATTATACGTGAAATTAAAATATCAATTCACAGAGGGCGCTACCTTACAATAATTTACTAATGACAAACTTTTACATATACTTAAGACGTTTAGGATAATTGTATTTTAATTTTGGAAGGTTTCACTTCTACCACGTGTGAATTGCACACATTTTGTTTTTTTTTTTAACTTCAGACGTGTGTATGTTTATAACGGAATCTTTGAACATGATTTTGACCCCGAACTCGAAATTTGGTATACTTATTAAGGACCGATGACAATTCAATATTTAAAAGAAAATAGAAAAAAATATTGAAAAAATTGAAATTCAACTAAAAAATAGAAAAGAAATTTTAATAAATTTCAATTGAAATTGTGTAAGAAAAAAATATTTTATGGTAAAAAAAGTGGCTTAACCCACATTTTTTTATATTCAAGCAATTCATCAATATGATGTATAATGGAATTTATTTAAAATATAATAAATTTTAATGCAAAACCGGCCTATCCATAGTTTGACCCATAGATAACTGATGGCTTTGTAAGAAATATTTTTGCGCCTATTGTTTTTTTGCCTACTCAAATTCAAATTCATGAAAATTCAAATCTAATTGCCTCCATACTAACTATGGAAAGCTTAGGCCACTTTTGCGCGGACGGCCTCATATGTGAGCTTATCTTGGAAATATCGTAAGCGAGTTTCAGGCATCTGTCAAATATCTTGTGTTCTATGATGGATACCCGCCACATGATAATCACAAAATCAGTGGAAAAAGCATCACATCCGGTATTCTTCACCACGATACTTTCCCCCCGATCCCTAGAACCTTCGGAAAGAGTACAAAGTGCGCGGTACGGAGGACGGCGGGGGCTGCTTTGGTGACAGCAAGAGTCCCACGCGGCGGTCTCGGAGGACCGGCCTGGCGAGGCTGAGCTTGGCCGTGGAGGGAGGGGAGGTGTTCGGACTCTTGGGCCATAACGGAGCCGGTAAAACCACTACAATGAAGATTATTACTGCCGAAGAGAGACCTACTTGTGGAACGGTGAGTTTATTATGTATTTAAAAGGTCCATTGTCGCTGTCCATACTCCAAGGCGGTAGAGGCTGCCGTAAAGTTCAAGAACTACAACAATATTGGTCTAATATCCCAAATATATTTATTCCGAATCAATCCTTTTGATTTAAAATCAAGTTTTTTTAACACCCCGCCGTGCAGCAGTAATTCGCTTTGGTTTGAAGGATATTATTATGGCAGCTGTTGTAACTATACTGAGACCATATCTCAAGGTGGGCGGCGGCATTTACGTTATGTAGATACCTTTGGGCTCTGATAACCACTTACATATGGTGGGCTCAGGTGGGATATGAGCCCGTCCACCCAACTATGCAATAAAACATAAAAACTATTCTATGCCTTGATATAATCGTAGATGATCCATTGACTTCAATTATATAACGGTTCTACATACACACATATACCTTCTCTTTCAATTGTACCAAGGTCTTATACCGTATTATCATCTCTGTGATATCTTCTGGATAGGTAATGCTTGGTAGTCAAGACATAAGGGATTCCCAAGCGTCAGCGTTCCGCATGCTGGGCTACTGTCCGCAGCACGACGCGCTGTGGAAGAACGTCACCATCCGGGAGCACATCGAGTGCTACGCCGCCATCCGGGGTGTCAGCAACCAGGACATACCCCGGTAAATCTATACATATGAATAAAATTGGTGTCTGTTTTTAATATTTAAATAGCCGCTTTTTACTACATGCATATGAATATATATACGGTACATACACCAAAATAACATTTTTTACAATTTTTGTCTGTCTGTCTGTTTGTTCCGGCTAATCTCTGGAACGGCTGGACCGATTTTGACGGGACTTTCACTAATAGGTAGCTGATGACATAAAGAGTAACTTAGGCTACTTTTATAGACTAGCTTCGTCTCGCGACTTCACCCGTGGTACGACAATAACCGCGGATAACATTGCGAGACTCAGCTATCAATAATAAAATTTAATGTTTCCGAAGCGAAGCGAGGGCGGACGCTTGTAAAAAAATAAAATAAAAAAACCTTTATTTGATCTTCTACATTGCTTCTTAATTTGCTAAATTGATTTAAACTCTAACACTATGTTTAATTACTAGCAAGGTCCCCAGGTTGGGTAAAGGCCTCCTCCAATGATGACCGCTTTTCTCTATCCTGTGCTAATTACCACCACTCTGGGCCAGCTGCTTTTTTTATTCGTCCTCCCAGCGTGTGGAGGGCCTTCCTTTCTTCCTTTTTCCTTGAGGTCCTCTCCATATGGTGGTTCTGTAGGTCTGTAGGTCCATCTTTTATCTCTAAGCCTCGCTAAATGACTGGCCCATTTCCACTTTAGATTTTGGGCATAGTTTAAGGCATTATTAGCTTTTGTTATTTCTCTTATCTTTACGTATCTGATCTTATCTAGTTTTTATTTTTATTTTGAGCATGCTTCTCTCCATTCTTCGTTGATAGACTCCGGTACCAACACTCAAAGACAAACAGTCATCAGTTTTGGCCATAGTTAAGCCAGTGACTTCGCAAGCCATGATCCACATTAAGCTATTGCTATAGCCTAATGGACTACTAGAATTGAACTAATCAATTATTTTGCCCAAACATAAAATCTAATCGCACTAGAATAGAAGATATGCAAGCTTCATGGTATGGCATAGATAGTCAGAGTCTTAGTACCAAGTTCAGCTGACAAATAGTCAGAGTCTTAGTACCAAGCTCCGCTGACAAAGCAGCAATATCCTAAAGGACTTCATCCCGAAAAATTATAATTTGCGTAATTACTGATGGTAGGACCTCTTGTGAGTATGCGCGGGTAGGTACCACCGCCCTGCCTGATCCTACCGTGAAGCAGTAATGCGTTTCGGTTTGAAGGGTGGGGCAGCTGTTGTAACTATACTGAGACCTTAGAACTTATATTTCAAGGTGGGTGGCGTGTTCACGTTATGGATTTCTATGGGCTCCGGTAACCCCTTAACACCAGGTGGGCTGTGAGCTCATCCACCCATCTAAGCAATAAAAAAGTACATTTCTTCTTAAAGAAGCTGAAAACAAGCCCTTTTTTCATCCTGTATCTACCCAATGCTGACTGTAGATTTCTTCATATGCACTCCATTCTTTTCGGTCTCTTGCCTTTCGCATCCAATCCCTAACAGTATTTTGTCCTGGTCGTTGATCCATCTCATTGGTTGGTGCCCAAGTTACGACATCCAGAACGAGGTCTCCATTCCAGTACTTCACGTACAGTACAAAAGAAGCGCTGAGCCATTCATCAGCCTAAATTATTTCCATCGGATATAGGCCAATGCTCCTTCACTCCATCAAAAATTCCTGATTAGATCGGTTATGGTTGCAGGATCGTGGACGCATACCTAAACGGTCTTCAAATAGCAGAGCACGCTGGTAAGAACGCGGAGGAATGCTCAGGGGGAACTCGTCGTAAGCTGTCCTTCGCTTTGGCCATGGTGGGCGCACCACGCGTGGTACTGCTAGACGAGCCCTCCACCGGGATGGACCCGAGGAGCAAGAGATTCCTATGGGACACCATTCTTGCCAGCTTCCAGGTGGGTTAGGGCCAATTGGTCACCCTCATGAATAACTACCACAACGAAGGAATAGCATCGGGTAATAAAAATCAAAAACCTACTGGTGGTAAGATGTCTTGTGAGTCCGTATGGATAGGTACCACAATCCTGCCTATTTCTGCCGTGAAGCAGTAATGCGCTTCGGCTTGAGGATTTGGGGCAGCGATTCCACTATAAAACTGGCACTTAGAACGCATGTCTCAAGGTAGCTGCATCAGTGTTGTTCATGTCCATGGGCTCTGGACACCATTCAACGCCAGGTGGGCTGTAAGCTTGTCTGTCCATCTAAGCAATGGTAAAACTGCAGTGTATAGCGTACACAATTCTATATTCAATAGCGACCTTATTTGTGATGTCTGTATACATTGCATTGCACATTACGGACTTAGAGACTTCACTGGTATACTCCCAGGAAACGACCCTGAGTGTTCTCTCAGATTAAATTTATATATTTTTATTTATTTATATACAAACAGAAAAGATGACATAGTACAGAGTAATAGGAAAATTATGTACAAAGGCGCTGCTTATTTCTTTAAGAAATCTCTTCCAGCAGAGCCTGCGAGAGGATTATGAGAATAATAATTAAAAGTGATGAGTGAGTGTAGAACAAATAACACATTACTAAAATAACAAATACAACATGAGAATTATAGTAATGCACATACACATAGCAAATATTGTTAAAATTAATTTATTTATTTGTTCGAGTTCGACGGATTTTATTGTAATAATTTTTTTTTTTTACCTATCCATGGCCAATTATATGTTAAAGATTAATGTTAGACAAATGGATTCAAATCACATAATACATGCTTTTCGTGTTATAAAAAGTTAATTGGTTGTCTGTAAAGTCGCCTTACGGACGATAGTTTTACGTGATAACGTCAGTAGCAGAGCTATTCTGTTAGCTGTGACGTCACGCGAGAAGAGAGATAAACGTGTCACACGCCAAAGCTTGGGTCGATCGTGCCTCTCTATCGCTCGTTCCGCGCTCTCGCCCGCACGCTCACGCTCGGACGGAACGTGACACTTTTTCGTGCACGCAGCCAGTGTTTATCGATTTATACCACTTTGAAGACGTGATTTAACTTTATTTCTGAAGTTTTAACTATTAATAGTTTATTTATAGACATTTTAAGCATTTCAATTTGTTGTACTCAGGGTAAGAAAGGTGCCATACTAACGACACATTCCATGGAAGAGGCTGATGCATTATGTTCCAGAGTTGGGATCATGGTTAAGGGGAGTTTGAGGTAAGGGTTCCTGAGTAAACTTCTTTAAAGTTTAGCAGATTTGAAGCTTCTGCTACATCTTCTTGCCGCCTAGGTCTGTCTGATTGGCGCAAAATATCTCTCGTCTCATCAGATTTAGGTCATTGATATTGATCAGGCCTTTGCGTGAACCTTTCCTGTAAATTCTGATTTTGGGTTTATGGATCAAGAAAATAATTACATTACATTTAGAATAAACAGCATGAGTGGTTTAATACATTAAAGAAAAATACAAAAAAATATAATATAAACGCATAAAAAAATTTTGGTAATTCATCTGTTTGTTGTGCTGATTGAGATCGTCTTTAGGTGTATCGGTTCAACGCAACACTTGAAGAATCTATACGGAGCCGGGTACACGCTGGAGATGAAGATAGGGCAGACTAATCAGAAATCAACGGTATGTTAATTGATATATTTATATTTATTATTGCATAGATGGGTGGACGGGCTCACAGCCCAACTGGTGTTAAGGGGTTACCGGAGCCCATAGACATCTACAACGTAAATGCCGCCATCTACCTTGAGATATGAGTTTTCTCGAGTCGCTGGTAAACTAAGCCCGGAAAAATTGTTAGCAAGAGCAGTGCTTTGCTGAATTTACCATTCAATCAGAATCGCGACGGAGGAGATCTGACTAGAAACTCAGTGGGCTGTGTCTATGGGTTAAGTCTTGCTTGACTTGCACACAATCTTGGCGGTCCCCGGGCATTCCCCTACCAATACCACTACTATCAGCGTTTGACTGTTTTTTTTTTATTGCTTAGATGGGTGGACGATCTCACAGCCCACCTGGTGTTAAGTGGTTACTGGAGCCCATAGACATCTATAACGTAAATGCGCCCACCACCCACCTTGAGATATAAGTTCTAAGGTCTCAAGTATAGTTACAACGGCTGCCCCACCCTTCAAACCGAAACGCATTACTGCTTCACGGTAAAAATAGCCAGGGCGGTGGTACCTACCCGTGCGGACTCACAAGAGGCCCTACCACCAGTAATTACGCAAATTAAGATTTTTTCGGGTTTGATTTTTATTACAAGATGTTATTCCTCCACCGTGGAAGTCAATCGTGAACATTTATTAAATACGTATTTCATTAGAAAAATTGTCATTAGAAAAATTGTCTACAAATACAAGTGCTTTGCAGATGATGGAGGGGGACATGTCGATGTCGCCTTCGCCGCTGAGGTCTGCGGAGAACTCACCTTCGCTCGGAGAAGCTGATGAAGGTAAAGCTTATTTTGAAGATAGATCAGGACAGAGTTATTATTTAGTACACGACTAGCTGACCCGGCAGACTTCGTAGTGCCTCAATCGATAAATAAAAAACCTTAACTTTTGTATAAAGTATACTTAAAAAAAAAACAAAAGAATCCGTCCGTCCATATGAAAGGTAAAACAAAATGTTTGTTTTTATTTATTTAATTCCGACCATTTTCATATTTATCTACCTTTTAAACCTTCTCTGGACTTCCACGAATAATTCAAGACCAAAATTAGCAAAATCGGTCCAGCCGTTCTCGAGTTTTAGCGAGACTAATGAACAGCAATTCATTTTTATATATATAGATTAGACTGGTTGTCGTAGAGAAGGCACGGAGACCATTGGCATTCACCACATGGAGCTGTGAAGTGTCCAACTGTATTAAGTTATTTAGTGACGGAAATTTAAAATTACACCGGTCTTTTGTTTCCTCATGTCTTTTTCATCATCATATCAGTGGTAAGGTCTTCGACAGTGAACGGTTCCTGAAATGACGAGCGAGAAACGGCGTCAATTCTTCATCAGATCTCTTGTCCAACTATGTTTTTTTTTAAAGCTTAGGTGGGTGGACGAGCTCACAGGCCAACTGGTGTTAAGTAGTTACTGGAGCCCATAGACATCTACGACGTAAATGCGCCACCCACCTTGAGATATAAGGTCTCAAGTATAGTTACAACGGCTGCCCCACCCTTCAAACCGAAACGCTTTACTTCTTTACGGCAGAAATAGGCAGGGTAGTGATACTTACTCGCGCGGAGTCACAAGAGGTCCTACCACCAGTACAAATCGTGTCGCGTCATCGAACCCTAGACCCATGCTACGAAACATCATCAAACGTCATTCCTAGCTAGTTGTAGATTGAGTATTGTGTATTGAATATTCCAGGGGGGTCGGTGTCCGTGTCTGGGAGCGTGGAGCTCGACGGGGAGGTGGAGGTGGTGGACGCGTCCATACACACGCCACTGGTGGCCGGCACCCCGCCCCTCGTCAGGCACCGACACCACAGGTACCATCGGCGTTCCATTGGCCTCTGTGCTCTAGTCCACATACACGGTTTCCTACTTCTCTTTGACCTGAAGTCTCAGGGTAAAAGGCCGGTCGCCGTCCTCACCGAGCCTGTCGGTCCCGACTCGGCGAGTAAATTAACCCACAGACAGAGTCCACTGAGTTTCTCGTCGGATCTTCTCAGTGGGTTGCGTTTCCGACCCGGTGGTAGATTCTGCGAATCATTGCTCTTGCTAGGGCCAGTGTTAGCAACACTCCCGGTTTGAGCCGCGTGAGCTCACCTACACGTCAAGGAGAAGCTGAATTAGCCTCTCAAGGCTATCATCAATATAATATCAATATAATATCAATAAGCAATACAAAAAAAAAAAAAAAAATCATCAGCATAGGTGAGGAGAAAAAGAAAAAAAAAAGGTGAAAGGTTTACACTGTTGAATCAACGGCTTAATCAGAAGCCGGGTATTCCGGAAAAACTTGACAACATTATGATCCTGATGATGATTATGACCTGTTATCGTCTGAGACTATAAAATATCACACTTATCTTTATATAACTGAGTGACCAAATATCAATGTATTTACAAGTAGCCTTGTACAAGTAGTCTTGTTAGTCTGAGATTTAACGATTAGGTTTAGCTGAATCCCGCGTCACACATCATTAAGTGGGCCGCTTGCCATGCCTCCGAGAACAATGATAACCTAACCTTCAACATTTTACTGGTGGTAGAACCTCATGTGAGTCCGCGCGGGCAGGTACCACCACTCTGCCTATTTCCGCCGTGAAGCAGTAATGCGTTTCGGTTTATAGGGTGGGGCAGCCGTTGTAACTATACTGAGATCTTAGAACTTATATCTCAATGGGAGTGGCGCATTTATGTCGTAGATGTCTATGGGCTCTAATAACCACTTAACACCAGGTGGAATGTGAGCTCATCCATCCATCTAAGCAATAAAAAAAGGCTTGGCTGAGTTCCGCATCACACATCATTAGGGTCCGTATGCCATGCCTCTGAGGGCTGATATTCTGACCTTGACCACGCAGGTCAGAGTCTGGCGGCGGGGCGAGCGCGGAGGCCGCCATCGCGCTGGTGGGCGAGCTGTTCCCGGCGGCCGTGCTGGAGGAGAGCTTCGCGGAGCGGCTCGTGTTCTCCGTGCCGCAGTCCGCGGTCTCCAGCCTCGCGCGCTGCTTCCAGCAGATCGAGGACGGTACGGCGCCACACTCCACACTCCACCACCATTTCTTTTTTATGATTGAAGGATTACTCGTGGCCCGGAGGCCTTTCCAGTTTCACCAGGACAGGTGGGCGAGCAAAGGCTCAGCCAGGAGGGGCGGGATTTGCTAACAGCTGCCCAAGCGCCTCCGAAGGAGACCTAACAACTCATAGCATATTCAACTCATAGCCTCGCGAATGAATCTACTACCGGATCGGAATCGTGACCCGCTGAGAAGATCCAGAGAGAAACTCAGCGAGCTGATGCATGGGTTACGTTGCACGGTTTACGGTTGCCGGGGTCCCTTAGCCCTGTTCCTAATGTTAGAGTTGGACTCCACCACCACATATTCAGGGGATACAATTAGAATTATTTTGATTTGCAATTGGCTAGTCTCAGCTCGCGTTCCCAAAGGGTATTCGTCTCAACTTGACTTTCATACTAATAATCATCATCATTATTCTCCTGCCCTTCTCCCAGTCACCTGGGGTCGGCGCTACACGTTTCCTCCTTCCATACTCCTCTATCATATACCATTTCTTCGCTCACTCCCCTCTTACGCATATCGTCTTTCACACAAAGTAATGTAATATTAAAATTAATCTTATTTCACTGTACGCTACTCTTAATGTGGGCGTCGGCTTGGTGATGTAGCGTCTGTAAACTCTAGCTACATACTACTTACTGCTCGATACTTATACTACTACTACCATACGTGACGTATTTCAATCGTTGTTCAAGTGCATCAGTGTTTCGGACTGTTAGTGTTTCGTGCGACAGAGATAGCGCTCTACGAAGCCGAAGTTAGCAGATTGTCTCTATCCAAAGGTCGATGTGCGATATTTATTGCCGGGGACTGTACTATATATACACTTAAGCAGGTCCGACTTTTTACACGTCATTTCCGATCCTCCCGATCTATTAAAGGTGCTTTTAGGTACCCCAAGCATCGGTCATCGGCCCCGTCGAACCCGTCGCTTGCGACGAAGGGCTCGGCTAGTAAACTCGGCTAGTAAAACTCTGAACATCAGAAATCACTTAGGACCTTTGGTGGCGACACCTTTCGTCCTTTGTGACCGGAGTGAGATGTCTTGTTGGATCGCCCAGATCCACCCTCAGTGATTTTAGGCTCTTCAAGAACCAGTCATCCTTCTCTTGCAATCTGGACTAGAACAGGCCACTGAGTTTCTCGCCGGATCTTCTCAGAGGGTCGCGATTCCGTCCGGTGGTAGACTCTGCAAAGCACGGCTCTTTCTAGGGCCAGCGATAGCAACAACGTCAGGTTTGAGCCCCGAGAGCTCACCTAGTCGCCCTGTTACGCTGACATAGCCTCTCAAGACTATCAGATTAGGGAGGGATAAAAAATGACTTTATATGTTTTTCACAGCTAAAGAGAAACTGAATATAGTCGAGTACAGCTTCAGTCAGACAACCCTCGAGCAGGTGTTCCTCAAGTTTGCGCAATCGGAGAACGTGGAAACTCTAGACCAAGATCACTAGCGTGTGCTGACACTGGTCCAACATTAACTGCACATTTCACTTGGATCCAAAGTTTTGTTGGCTATTGGTTCACTTATTATATTTATCAAACGTTTGCTCGAAATGGTATTGCTAAAGTTTCAATAACAAATTTATAGGCGTTAAAAAAAACATTTGATAAATTACTTTAATAGAACTACCGAATCAAATCAAGGGAATTATCTGATTGAAACTTTCTTTCACGTAATCACAAACAGATATCGCTACATTTTATGTCACAGTATAAACAAATGACAGATGTTTGACTACGTTTTTTTTTTAACGGCGAAATATATAATAATTTGGTCCAAGTAAGAAGTGCAGTAGACGAATACGCGCTCTATGAATAAGTGAAGAAACGTTGTAAGATAAACGAAAAAAAAATTATAATTAAAAAAAAACCCGCTTTTTACACAACCTTGACTAGTTACATTACTAGATTTTTTTAAAAGCTTTTTTAATTCCCACATGCGAGAATAAACGCCGAGAAACATAATGACAATAATGATTTAAAATATTCGTTACCATTTTGAGTTATTCAAATAGGAATTCTTAGTGTGGTCTGGAAGTCGTGGGCCTCCACTCTGGCCTTTGTTCGGAAGCACAGATGCAGCAAAGCTTGTAGCAAGGAAAGCTACATTCCGTATTGAGAAGTGAGGGTCAGTCGTTTGGAGGTAACGCAGTTCACGGCACGCTGCTCTAAAAGGCTATTTAGATACTCCTCAAAGGAGTAAGATCTACCTTGTATCTCAAATGAATCTCAGTATCATCATCACGCAGTGAAAGCCGTATAATGCATAATAATAATAATAATAATGCATATATTGAGAAGTAATGTTGAAGAGGACAGTGATTAGCACTATTCCCGTACTACAAGTCTTTGGTAACTAATCAATTTGTAGCACTGTTCTCTTAGTGAGGCTAAAAAATTAATTAATAAATTGATTGCTTTTATTTTCGCATGTGGACGTCTACCATAGATTACCGGTGTAAGTTAGGATGTGATTGTGTTTCTAAGAACGAAACCCGTAAATGTTGTTTGACTTTGACTAGATCCGTCCTGCTCTCACGCTGTATTACTGCGAAGCGTGCGAGCAGGACGGAAAATAATGCGATGCTACTTATTTTGATCGTTTTTGGAGAGAATTGTAGAGATAGAGTAGATTTTCTAAAAGCTTTTTAGAACACAATTTTTCAAACTTCCATAATTTTTGTACGAACTAAACTAAAGTAATGAGTTTAAAGACTATAAATATACAACGATGATATAATAATGAGCTCACACTTGAAAGCCTATTTCAATTGAAATCCATTTAAAAAGAGTTGTGCTTGTCTGTAACACAAAACAATAACAATTAATATTACGGTGTCGATTATGGACCAAAATTCCAAAATTTAAGAGAATAATAATAACTAAATTGTAGAGAACTTCCAATTCTACAATTGTCTCCAATTAGCATTGCAACAACTGGATTTAGTTGTTAATTAGGCAATGTATAATTCTTGCGCGTAAGTACCTTGAACCAATATTGTGGTCTGGTAAATTGTAATTTGCGTCCAGTTGCGGTTGCAATTACAAACAATTACCCCGCAGGACGGGCAGTAGAGATTTCGAAGTATTTCTTTAAGATTTCAAAAGATAAAACTGTGTCAGAAAAATAAAATTTATAAGTGTTTGTATGCATCGTCAATGTGTAGCAGTAATAATGCATGGGTGTTCTAAGCAGATTTAGTGAAACCACACGTACAGTTAAATATGTTTATACATTTAGATGGATATAAGCGAATATCATCTGTATATATATGTCGGAGAAGCCACAATTATTAACACGATCGTCAGATATCGTAGGGGCGAATACGGTGATCGAGCTAAGAGAAATATTGAGTACACCAATCACGTTTGTTGTCTTAGAACAATTTAGAAATCTTCTCTTGACGCTAGCAAATGAAAACGAATGAGTTCTTAGGACGGAGACGCCGCTCTTCAAGAAGGCTGGTTGATAAGTGTGATGGCGTCTACGCGCCTCCATCGGCTAGGCTCTGTCGTAGCACGAAGTTAGCCGAGTTCCAACGATACCGCAATCGTGCTGCCATCTCTCGGGAATCGTGCTGCGTTTCATTTAGCTACCAAATTAATGGCCGTCTCCGACATATAGATGATATATATTTAAACGTATATAAGTATATTTCTCAGTGGTTATTACTCAGAGAATCCTAATAGAGCCGGATGACCGTGCGTGATTTATTTTATTTATTTATTTTGATCGTAATCTAGCTGAACCAACTTATTGTTTACTGCACTGTGGTTTGTACATGTCAAACTGACATTGACGGTGCGTCAAGCAAAGACTTCTTTTGCGTAATGCCTTTTAAAAAAAATTATTAAATTAACAACCTCAAACACAGCCCTACACTAAATAGTTGACAGACAATTACGTAGTGATGTGAAATAATATAGCTTGAGTCCGTATCCAGACTCGGTTATCCGGAAAATGACTTATAAAAAGTTTGTAATTTATTATTATTTGATAATTTTGACGGTATGAATGTTTTAATGTTTTGAACATTTTTGTAGCGATTTCTTTCTATAATGTTACATAATTTTATTCAATACAACTGATCTTATTGTTGGTTAAAGCTGTATCAAAATATTTTACCTTTCTGAATAGATTCACAAATTTAACGTGTCGCAAGAAATATTTAGTGTTTCAACTCATTAATTGAAGATAATCTATTGAATCTATTCCGAAGTTTTTTTTTTCAAAACACACTTTCGGAAGAAGAACTCTTCGACATAGATTATTTATGTGTGTTTAAAAAAAAACCACAATATTTTGAGTTTCGTTATTTCGGAGTCGGTCGACTTATGTCCGGTCTAACGGTGCAAGACAATTAAATAGTTAAGTCTTTTTAATAAGGTGTAACTTTAGTGGAGCCACATTCTTAGCTTACGACGAAATTATTTCTCAAAGGTTTCTTTCAAATTTTTTGTGATCATTTTCTAGTCAACGTTAACACGAGGGTCGGTGAACTCTTTATAATTCTGATACTTTATGTGTTCAACGAAATCGTTACGTTATATTATAAGGATTTTAGGGCGATTTTCCTTTGCAGCTGTTTTTAATGGTGACAAGTCTTAAGCCACGCCCGGGTAGGTACCATTTCTGACGCAAAGCTATCATTTCGGTACGTTGTAACATCAATGAGCATCAGAGGGGCGAGCACGCATGGCTATCGAAAACTTTTTTTTTGTTTTTTTTTTCCTACCTAAGCTGATAGCCTTGAGAGGCTATTCAGCCGAACCTTAACTAGTAGGTGAGCTCACGGGACTCAAACCTGACGACTAACACGAACCCTGGCAAGCCGTGCTTCGCAGAATCTACCACTGGATCGGAAACGCGACCCACTGAGAAGATCCGGCGAGAAACTCAGTGGGCTGTGTCTATGGGTTAATTTACTCGTCGAGCCCTTCGTCGCAAGCGGGTTCGACGAGAACGGTGGCTGGTGCTTGAGGTACCTAAAAGCACCGTTAGTGGATCGGGAGGATCCGAAATGACGTGCTTGGGGCGACGTCGAATGCTTTCCATTCTTTCCGCAGGGTCGGGAATGTCGGAAACATATTCGTATCGTTATCGAGAAAAAAATTGTATAGGATTTAAACAGCGCCCCCTCCCGGCAGTAAAAAGAGTTAACTTCAGCAGCACGAATGAACTTACCATCGTTTCGCAATCGAGTCACCGCGTTCTCGAAACTCGAAACTCATAATCGAGAGCACGAAAACTGTTTTGACATGCGGTCACGTAAATCTCGAAGGCTGTCTGGCTATCGAGTACTACCGTCTAATGTAACGATCCGTTTTCGTATCGAGGACTCGATGCATTTACATTACGAATTCGATAGATTTTCGTGCTTGACGCTCAGGTACTTACGACTCGATTTTTGAGACGTATTTGAGTCGACTATTATCAAAGCCGGCAATGTGACTTATGGACAATTATTGGTAAATCAGAAAAACGAATTATTGACTTTGTATTCCATTGGCAGTCACAAAACTCTTCTGAACAACATCTTAGATAAATAACAGGTTAAGTATTAACCTTTAATAATAAATATAAATAACAGGTTAATATTAATGCAGGTTTTGAACCGTATTCTTTGAAGGAGACGATTATGTTCAAATCAATCTGTATTGACATATCAATAACATTTTTTTGTCCAAATGCACAGATTGCCACCTTTGATTATAGACGACTCATTTATGTTACGCACTTTAACCGATATCTCTTGATACTTGTACCACAGTCATTCTTTTTCTCTTGATTCTATAACTCGATCCCGACCCGCGCTGCGAGTTCAAGACTGAAGCTTTAATAAGTTCATAGTTCAACTTGAACCTGGGATTAACCTGGGTTTTCGATAGATTTTCGTGCTTGATATACAGAATCCCTTAACATGTCCAGCGTGAGAAGTTTGCTTTCGTTGTCACAAATCGTAACATCGTTCTCCTCGTATCTGTGTTAAATCAGAAGCTTAAAATATTCTTCGAGCTCTACAAGACCAAAGTTCTCCTACTACGTCAAGAAGAAGAAAGATTTCCGGAATTTTTGAAGTGAAACTTCTTTGAGCGCGTTGAGAATAAAATTTAACTCGCGACAGATTCGTTATGGCTGGAAAGAAAAGATACAATTTTGGATGAGTCAGAGTGAGAAAATAGACTGAGCGTCTCGCGAACCTCTCGACCGTGGATCGAGGGAAAAGACAAAGCCAGCTAGGTCGTTTCTCTTATATACAGCATTCCCTATTACAAGAGAAATTTGATTTAGGAATGAAAAATGAAGAAAACCACAATACTGCACACCACAAAAGAAGTTTCGCTTCTTACACGTGCACCAAGTTGCATGCGCACCATTTTTTTTCTTCAAACAGATCTCCTTCGATGCTTTTGAATCCATAACGACTTTACCGCCGTCAATAATAAAATTTGCAAATCTGCTAGTAATTTGTCGCGAAATTGTGAATCGATTAAAAAAATAAGTTGGAATGCTCCGAGGAATTATTTGAGATGATCCCTTCATCTCCTTTTTATCATCGCACCTCCCGCCATCGGAGCAGAGTTCATCCATATTACCTGGAACCGCTGCGTTCATCGACAGTGCGTTTCCAGAGGTCTTTTTTGCCAAGCACCATCCGGCTATGGAATGAGCTCCCCTCCACGGTGTTTCCCGAGCGCTATCACATGTCCTTCTTCAAAAGAGGCTTGTGGAGAGTATTAAGCGGTAGGCAGCGGCTTGGCTCTACCCCTGGCATTGCTGAAGTCCATGGTCGACGGTAACCGCTCACCACCAGGTGGGCCGTATGCTCGTCTGCCTACAAGGGCAATAAAAAAAAATTTTTTTTTGAACATGTTTCATATTAATTTATTCATATTCTGGTCTCAAAACTTTATCTGTATACTGAATGGATAAATTGCCTAAGATTCCGTAACTTATTTCAACTATAAACTTGAAAATATGTAGCTTTCAACCGTAAAACGTTATAACGTACAAAGAATGGTGAGCGAAAATAAACTGTTACACATATGAAATAAGATTGATATACACGCGAGCAAGTTGAACACAAAAAAAAAAGAAGTATCGTTATTATAAAGGCACCGAACTGTTTGATGTGGAAACTAGTTTTAAGGACGGGAAAATTTATAAAATTTCTTTTGACAAAAAAAAAAAACAAGTAATTACACACAGTGAGAGAATTGTTTGTTGATTATAATGAAATTTTGCTAGTTTTTAGTATCATTGTTCGATAAAATGCGAACTATAATAAGAAAAAGGTTACTTATTGAAAAATGTTTGATCTACAACTATGTATAATAAATAAAAATTAATAATGTTTCTGTTCGAAAATGTGTCGGATTTTTGTGTATTTTTCTTTTCGCTGTCAGGTAATGTGTTATTTACTGAATTGAACGTTTTGTTTATTACACTCAGTGATTCTCAACCACTGTTCCACGGCACTTTTGTGTGCCGCCAAATTTCAAAAGTGTGCCGCCAAATTTTGCGAATATATAATAACGTTAATATTATTAAATTATATCATTTTAAAAGAAAAATATTTTAAACATTAATATATATTTAAATCCACAAAAAAAAAATTATAGTATATTTTAGTTTATTTCGTATATTAAAATTTTTTGATAAACTATTTAAGCAGTGTGTTGTAGTAAGTAAATAATTTTTATCTTTTTTTTTTGGGTGCCGCCAAATTTTGAAATCGTTAAATATGTGCCGCAACAAAAAAAGGTTGAGAATCACTGCTAATTATTTATATTTTAATTTTATAAAAAACGATATCACATTAGTTTTATTTATTTATTTTGTTGTTTATGTTACATTTCATTTTTCGATATGCGTAAACGAAAAAGATTGGTCATGTACTAAATGCAGTCCTGATTTTTTTTTGAGGTCTATATCCGAAATGCATTTTTTTTTAATTCTATTCCAGAAACAGCAGTGTACGTTGAAGTCATTTTACAAAACATCGTGCGTCCCTGTCTGGCGTGAAAATAAAACGCGAATGCCCTTGTTTTCGAATGGATTTTAATTATCGTTAATTGCCTTTATTTATACACACGCGTCTGTTGTGAAACAATAATCAAACGACGAGTGTACGCGATTGAGGGTAGTTTTACAATTTAACTAATACCCCCCGGTACCTATACTTTAAAATTCATTGCGTGTTGTTTTTTGCAGCGCATTCATTGCGTGTACAGTATATATAACCCGACCTCTTCCACTTTAGAAATAGGCCTTTTTTCCCCTACTTATGCTGATAGCCTTGAGAGGCTATTTCAGCTTCGCCCTAACATGTAGGTGAGCTCACGGGACTCAAA